TAGACGGATTGAAAAAAATAGAAAAGCTTATTTGTCCCTTTTTCCTTAATATTATATCTTATATTTACCATGAACTATTAGTCAAATTAACAAAATTTGACTATAACCATAAAACAAAACTTTGACTGTAAAGTAAAATAAAGAACTTTAGAATGTAAGAAAATTTAAAGCGCTGTAAAATTTCAAAAGAGTTGGATTTGGTCGGTGAACTTAGTTGATAATGTTGATCTAATCTAATACCCTCCGAAATCTTGAAAAGTGAATAAAGAAGTGAAAAATAATGTTAAATAAATAATGTTAAAATAATGTTAAATAAATAAATATTTCCGAAAATAATGTTGGGTTTAAAGTATTTCCCAAAATACGGATTGATTAAGTGCATAGTAAAATTTAGAATAGGCGGCCTTACCCTGCTCTAGGGTTTGATTTTCCGGCGACAACTCGAGTTGTCTGGCTCGGCAAAAGACGTTTAGCGTAGCGGCAGAGGCAGTCGAGAACAGGGCGGCCGATTGGAAATCCGTAGAGGTCAAGGCTCTCTGGACGATTCAATATGCAGGAGTAGTGCGTCGCTCGAGGTTTCTTGTAGCAGGCGACGATCCAGTCCAGCGCTACTCCGGGAACTGGCTTTCACAGTTCAACTGATTGTACTCTAGATCGATGGCGAACGAAGGTGCTTGGAATGGAGACAGAGCGCAGGCGATGCAAACGGCCTCGCTGGGGCTGATAACGCAGAGGAAAGAACATGGGAGAAGAGGAGAGTTGTACGGGCTGTGCAAAGGTCAGATTTCGATCGACAATGGAGGATCAATTAGAGAGGTACCAATGACACGACCTCCTCCTGAACCGCCGCTAGGGATTGTACGAGGTGCTAGCATTCGTGAAAGTTTCCTTATTAGTTATTATTATTTTGTCATTTGGTTTCTTATTATCGTCTATATGTTGTTAGGATTGTCAGTCTGTTTGGGATTTCAGCCTTTTTTTTGTCACTGAGTATGTTTGGATCAATAGGAACATGGATAATTGTGTCAAGCACGTTACATGGTTAGCGATTCGTGTTGGTCTTTCAAGGGTAATCGTCTCTAAGTCTGATCACTGGGTTTCCAGTCGTAGTTGTTGCGGTTTAGTTGGTGTCATTTTTGTTTTCCCTTTGATTGATCTAATGATCTTGAAACTTATGATATGAAAAAAAAAATGAAAGAAGGCTAGTTGATGATTAAAAAAAAGTATTATTTCCCAAAATATTTGGGATAACCATAGGGAACCGCCACTTGAAGTGGCGGCTCATGCAGTTAGAAAAACTAATGAACGTACAAAGCAGGAGTGAGGAAGAGTTGAGTCCAAGGTCCCACTGCACCACCAAATTAAATATCGTATTTTTTTAAAGTGATAAAACATTTTTATTTGTACTCCGATTCTTACAAAGAATATATCAAAACTCATAATTTTTTTATTACCTTTCATATGACACCAATATTAAATATGTAAAAATATAAAAAAATAGTTTGATACTTTCAAACAATATCTACTTTTTAAAGCGCTATATCTTTTTTATTTATACTCCAATCTTTATAAAAATATATCAACTTTGTAAGCGCTATATCTTTTTTATTTGTACTTCGATTGATATAAAACAATATATCAAAATTCATAACATTTTATTATCTTTCATATGACACCAATATTGAAAATATATAAATAAGATAATAATTTGACAAGTCAAATAAAAAGTGTCAATTTTTTTTGTCCAAAAAAAATTATATTTTAATTTTTATATATTCAATATTGATGTCATATGAAAGTTAATAAAAAGTTTTTTTATCGAAAGATAATAAAAAGTTATGAATTTTGATATATTTTTATAACAATCGGAATACAAATAAAAAGTTATGTCACTATAAAAAATCATATTTTATATGGTGGTGGACCAATGACTCAACTTCTCTTTCCTCTTGGCTTTGTATCGTGCGGTAGTTTTTCTCAGCATATTAGCTGCCACTTGAAGTGGCGGTTTTTTAACTCTAGAAGTGGCGGTTTTTTAACTCTAGTTATTCCAACAGTATTTTGAGAAAATAGTTTTAACACAGCACTATTTTTGGAAATATTTATTTATTTAATAATATTTTGAAAAAAAAACTCAGGTTTAGGAGCCTTGGTTCATTTCTATGTTAAAAAATCGAATTTCAATATAAAATTGGGACATAATTTGATGGATATGGCATATCACTGAACTATATTCAACATTTCGTGAACACTTTGAAAATAGTTAGTAAGCTAGAAGACATAATCGGAAGAACACAAAGGAGCTCCAATAATTAATTAGAAAACTAAAGAAATTATGTATATATTTATGTCTAAAAAAAAGGTTTTTTTACAAAAATATGCAAGAGCCCGTTTGGTGATCATGTTTTTTGACTTATCATAATTCAACTTTTTTTATCACACGTAACTTTTAATTTTGCACTCTGAATTGTGTAATAATAAGACAAAAAGAAGATTTTAGTTATTTTCCGATTGTATTGGCTGAAGTTACTGTAGAGAATCATTGTAATATTTTCTTTTATATTTTTATGTATTTTATTTAATAATGAAATATATTTTAAATATTTATTTTTTTACATAAATCAGTCAATGAAGCCGCTTCAGCGAGAACATCATAAGTTTCAGCTGAATAAGTCAATTTTGGTATTATCAAATGGCTTCTAATTCCAAATGTAATGAGCAACTTTAGTGGTAAATTCATAATATGTTGTTTTAAATTTTTCTAAATGTAAATGCTAAGTGAACATAACAATGTACATAGTATAGTAGATTAATAGGGAATAACTTTCAATTACATTTTTATAATTAAGGTTTGTTTCAGAAATATTTTGGAAAAACTTCAAAAATAGAAGCAAAAGAAGGAAAAAAACAAGAAAAAGGAGAGGATTGTTGAGCCAAGAAATATGAAAAAGAAAAAAGAGAATAGGAATGAAGAAAGTATAAGAGGAGGAGGCGAGAAAGGAAGACGAAGAATTCGGGACAGGGAAGCAGAAGAAGAGGAGAAAAGAAAAAGGGAAAAGACAAGTAAACGAGTCAAAAAAATTATGAAGGCCATTTGAATCAAGCTTTGTACCCGGGGTGAACCGGTGAAGTTGTTTATTGAGTCATACGTACAATGTTTTCTTTTGGATTGTTTTCAGTCCCAGACCAGATCAGAGCAGACTTAAACAGACCAGAGTACCAAACCAGACCAGACTTAAACAAACCAGACCAGACCAGACCAGACCAGACTTGGATAGTTATAAAATACACAGAGACCAGACGTTTACCAGACCAGACCAGATCAGTTCAAACCAGACCAGATCAGACCAGACTTAAACAGACTACACCAGACCAGACCAGATCAAACCAGACCAGACCAGCAAATTTCAGTCCAAAAGAAAACATATGTACTACTCAGTATTAAAGAAAAGTGCATTAATTGAGCCTTAGCAATGGAGGGGAGAATTGATTTCATTCATACTTCGTATAAGTAGAAGTCTATTTTAATTAAATTGTTTTAAATCAATATCGGATCATACTATATATACTATACTTGACTTAAGAGACCATATGAGACAAGATTTGGACAATAGTAAAACATGCATATATAATGCGTTTACTTGACCAGATCAAAACAAATTGAACAGAATTTAAAAATAATAAAATACATGTGCACAATACATTTATCAAATCAAACTTAAACATATTAAATCATATCAGAGTATTACATCATACCACTTTAGAAAAACATTCCAAGTGGATGTCAAATTTGAAGATTATTAGAAGACATGTCAGATTATTTCAAAGATTAGCAATTAAGGGAAGAGATTATTTAGGGAGATTATTTAAAAAGAAAATCTAGTATAAAGATTATTTAGAATTCATATCTTTTTTGGATTTGAATTATATTTATTCAACAAAATGCCATTTTTATAATCTGAGAATGTCAAAATTGTTGGTTCTTCGAATAAACTCATACGTTTGTGGCAGTATATTTATCAGGATGACAATCTGAAAATGCTATATGTCCATAAGAAAATGTCATTCTTATGGCATTTTGTGGCATTTTTATGACTTATCTGAGAATGACATAACTACTTGTTATTAGGAATGACATGTTTTTTGACATGTTTTCCAGATGATGTCAGAATTATCATCCTTAAATTGCCATTCTTTTTCATCTACAAATTCATATTTTTTACAACTGAGAATGTCATGTTTTTATATGAAACTTCCATCACTATGCCATTTTTGGAAATAGTATCTCTAAAAATGACAACATTTGGCAATCCAGTCAAAAAACATGTGATTAAAATATTGACATCTTGATATAATATAATGGCATAAAAGTGACATTTTTTCTAATAACAAGCATTTATAGCATTTTCATAAACAAATCTAATCAAAACCAAAAAAGTAATAAAAACCCAAATCCAAATATTTCCGATCATGATCGTTCGTTGAATTATAATCTGAAATAGTAAATGAATTAACAGTAATCAAAAATTGAAAAATGAAGAAACAAGGATCTGAAAGAAGAAGATGAGATGAAGAAGAAGAAGAAGATGAAGAAGAAAGAGGAAAAAAGAAGGAGAAGAAGAACGGAAAGAGGAAGAAGAGGTTACCTGGTGCGCTGCTATGGATTCTCTACCGGACCAGATGTGCGACAATGTGCGGCAATGTAATTGCCGATGCTATTCTGTGTGCCGGTTATCAATAACCATTTAAGGGTATTTTTGTCCAGTTAGGTAATTTGTTGTCCTAGTTTTGCAATTTAAACATAGGAGTCCTACTTTTGCATTTGTTCCATGTTTTAGGCCTATTAGGGGAATTCTCTCTTAATTAAAAAGTTATGATTCATTTCACCCTAATGAGAACATGAGGTTAGGATCGAGGTTAGGATCGTTGAAATTGTCTCACTCGCTGTCAATATAAATACACTATATATACACTAGTGGTATCAAACGAAAACCAAAGTATGCACCTAAAGATGGCAGCCTCTAATTGTCACAAAGTCTCAATCTTGTTTGCTTTCTATGCAACTATCATCGTCTATCAGATCTCCGTTACAAATGGGAACAGAGATCTGATAGGCGGTGTCTGCGCAAAGGCACAATATCCTGTTCTCTGTAACCACATCTTAAGAGCCGACCCCGATGCTAAGAAAGCCGACGACATGAAAGACTTATTGGCTGCCGCGATTAACATTGCGAAAAATCAGGCCATCACAGTCGAGACTCTTGTTAACTCCCTTCTTAAGAACGGGACCGTTGACCAGAAACTAAAGTCAGCACTCAAGCCGTGCTTGCGTAACTATGGCGACTCCATCAAGAAGTTCGGGGAGTGCCGGGATTACTTCGAGTCCGGAGATTATGGAGGCGTGAATGCACAAGCTTCTACTGCACTGGATAATATTGGGACTTGCAATGAAAGGTTCTCTCCTTCCAATTCTACTAAACATCATCAACATGATGATAAGCCCATTAAGCCGCTTAATCTGAAAGTTGCCAGTTCTTTATTGCAAGGAGCTTGCGATATCGTTTTGGTCATTACTTATAATGGTTTTGTGGGGTAGAGAATTAATGAGCAAAAGATAGATGCCAGAAGATCTAATTTGGAAGCGGTTATATGAGATGTTTTTAACTTCTTAAATATGAGATGTTTTTAATTATAATCAAATTACATATTCTAAAATCTCAAATTAAATATTTTCAAACTCAAAATATCAATTAAGTTAGCTTATTGATTCAGTAACCGTAATTCTACTTTGTTTAATTAGTTCAACAAACTATAATTAAACAAAAGCTAGCTAAGGCTTTATAATTTGTTGAACTAAATCAAAACTAAAGAAAAAACAAGACTGGCATATTCTTTGGCTTTCCGATAATCTATGTTGGTATGTTGATATCAGCCTAGCATTTCAGCAATATAAGCAATATTGGGACGAGTACAAACTTGAGCATACATTAGGGTTCATTCTATAGAAGCATGAGGTATATATCATACTCATTTGTTCCTTTTCTACTTCTGTTTTCGGGCATTGAAACGAACCAAAAATGTCCCCTTTAATTACGGGAGCAACTGAAGGAGAGCAATGTTACATGTTATAATGTGCTAGAATACGTCCAATGTAATGTAAGCCTTTTGAGATAGTCCTAATGTTCCATTGGCTCGCTCACGATATATTTTGATGCCAATTACATCCAAAATCTTTTATGTCAAAATGACGTGAAAGTAATAATTAATTTCATGCAACAAATTCAAATTCAGATTATTACTTGTTAAAAGGATATGTCATCAACGTGCAATTAGGTTCAATCCCACAGTGGACTTATCTGAATATAAAAAAAACATATTTTCATATAATAATTAATTTAAAAAGAATAAAATAAAAAGGTTTGAAACAATAAAATAATGCATTTACAAGCAAAAACTCTACTATTTGGAGCCTCTCCATGTATGAAGGAATAGAATTGAAGTCAACGCAACAAATGCGACAACCTATGGCGTCCATTCAACACCCGAACAACTTGGCTCTTATATGCCTTAATTTTGTATTTCTCTTCCCTTATAAATAAACAAAATAGCATATATACATATACACTTCCATCAATAAAGAAAACACCATATTCATCTTTTCTCCCCCAGCTCTTGCCATTTTAAATAAGTATATATATGTGAAGGAAAGGTTCGAGAAATGGGATTTGTTCACAAACCTTCATCATACATAGTGGCTTCCACCTTATTATTCATAGCTACTTTTTTCACATTTGCATGTACAAATGTGACAGCGGATTTGGTAGGAAGTATATGTGCCAAGGCACGAAGACCTGACACATGCACACGTGCATTGAGGTCTGATCCTCGAACGAAAAACGCCGACATGAAAGAACTCGCCACCATCGCAATCGAAGTGTCAATGAAACATGCGAAAACATCGCATGCCCTTGTGGAATCCCTTCTCAAGGGAGCGAAAAATCCCGAGTCCAAATCAAGATATTCATCATGTTTGGATAACTATGAGGATTCGGTCGAAGCCCTCGGGAGATGCCTCGATTTCTTAAAAGTTAAGGACTATGGGAGCTTGGATTCATATGCGTCTGCTGCTTTGGATTTCCCAGAAACATGTGACCAGGATTTTGAGGACGCGGCAGCTCGTGAATCAGGGAAACTGAAAGCTGCGAGTACAAAGCTCCAAGATCTTTGTGATGTTGTATTGATTGTTAGCAGCAAATTAAGTGGACGGGTGTTGGAATGATCATGAATATGTATGTATGAATGCACTAATTCATTCATGTGGGCTGCTATCGTGTTCTTCGATCATTGATGAGTACCAATTCCTAATTTAATTTGGAGTGGCTATGAAATGGGGGTTTAAAAAAAAATAATAAGGTGTTGAATTGATTTATTCATTTTTCTTGAGATCGCACATGGTATACACACACACATATACGGAGTACATACTAACATACATGCACGCACATCATCCAAATAGAACAAGTTTTTTTCCCTGAAAATTAAATTAGAATGAAAAGTAGAATGCAATCAAACCATTCTTTCTTTTGCAATCAAACCATTCATATTGAAAAAGTTTTGGTTAAATGATACGGAGTATTAGAATTCATGGCACTCGATTGATCATTTTTTTATAATTTGATGCTAAAACTAAAGGGGAGACCACCATTATCATGGGAAGAAATTTAGTCTCCTCATATTCACAAGAGTGTGTGTGTTTAGTACCTCTCAATTTAATTAGTTTGTTACGTACTAGGTAGTACTCCCTCCGTCCCTGAATTATATTCAAACTTTCCTTTTTCGTCCGTCCCAAAATTATCTTCCCTTTCCCTTTTTGGCAAAGAATTTGTGGTTCACAACCATTCTTACACATTCTTATACATTTCTCTCTCCTCTGCACAACTCTCCACCACACAAAACCCATTTTCTTAAATAATGTGCTTAGCCGAAATGGGAGAAAGATTAGGGACGGAGGGAGTAGTATATATAGACATGTTATTTATTAGTCATTACGACGTAGTTCTAGGTTCTCCGGTTGTGTAGAATTGTTAATATGAAAAATTAACAATAAACTACATTCTTTTTTTTCGTAAAAAATAAAGTACATTCTTTAAACCTCATTAATCATTTTAAGAAAAAATATGACTAGACCTAAGTAATTTTAGTACATAGTATTATTCTAATTTATTACTACGTACTAAACTAAATTTTCACATTAAATTTGGTTTGGCTCCTATTTGTCAATCAAAATTTCAAAATGGACATTCTTCATATTTGAAATATGTGTTTTGCCCTCTGTATTTCAAGTTGGTGCCAGCGACATTATAATGAATAGTTTCTCGTGCAAATTAATTTAATTAATTCAGATCACTACATATTCATCAAATAATCAGTAAACATACATTTCATATGGATACAGAATCGCTAATGCAGATATCTCACTTTAGTGCATAATATCAGTGAAAACAAACACTCAACGAAAATCAACCTCGGCACAAGTTCGAGACCTGAAATAAAGACCGAAATAAAGAAAACCTGACATGAGGAAGAAGTTTGTTTGCATACTTGGTGAAAAAGTATGCAAAATAGATACTGGAGTTCAAGCTAGAGGTGCAGGTTTGTAGTCTATGACAAGGACCTTCTCCAGCTGAGGAAGAAGTTTGTTTGCATACTCAACATGAAGGGGATGGGCAATGTACTCTGCAATTCCTTCTGTGCTATCGAATGTCGACTCGAACACATGAGTGAAACCTTGGTTAAGCTTCTCTATGCTCACATCTTTACCCCTGATGATTTTTATTCATCAGGTCAGGTACATAGAGTAATCACAAAATGATGAATAAACCTTTCCAACAGGCTTTAGGGCTCTGTTTGGCAACATTGTCAGCCAAACAAACTTTCACAAACAGAACCTAAGGCTCCGTTTTGTAGCATTATTCTGCTTAGTGCAGAATAAGTAGCTTTTGACTCGCTTATTTGGCTAAATACATGTTACCAAACAGGTTTTCGTTTAACAAAAAAATCTGAAGATTCAGCTATATCAGCCAAACAAAACCTTCAGATACAAAATTTAGGGCTCTGTCTGGTAGCATTATCTGGCTTATTCCAAATTAAGTAGCTTTTTACTTACTTATTTTACTGAAATGGATTTTGTTCGATTATATAAGCCAGATTACTATTCCCAAATGAGTGTTCTGCTGAAAACAAATAAGTCTACTAAATAAAAAATCAAAACAAGCCAGATTAACATCCAACAACTCATGTATGACATGAATTGGAAAAACTATTAGAAATCAAAATTGGGTATACTTCGCCCTTCTAAGAAGATGGACGCTTCAATTTCCAAAATAAGTACATGAAAGATTTCAAATATTCAGCTTCAAGAACGAAAATATAAAAGGAAAATCAGAAAGAAAAAACGACATCTTCTCGATTCATTTCCCTAAGGAACAAAATTGAAGTTCTAAAAACGAAACAGAGGAAACAAAAAGAGATGGGAAAATACCAGGTGAAAGACTTCATGGGTTGGATGAGGTGAACGAGATCGGCATAACCTTTGATGAGATGATCGATCTGTTCCTGAGAGATCCCATCTTTGAACTTGCCCAGTAATATGTGCTTCACTTCTCCTCTCGATGATGCACCACTCTCCTCCGCCATCTTACTTCTCTCTCCGGCCTTACAATAAGCGTTTGCCAGTTAAAACTGCATCTCGGAACAGTTGAAGTGGTTGGGCGAAAGTGGGATTAGGGTGCTCCAATTTACTTCCTAGAATCAATTTTTTCAGAAATTAGGGAAAATTGGTTTCTAAAAACTGATTCTGATTTTGTTTTTGCTTTAAAAAGAATCAGAAAGAGAATTAGTTCCAAATGCCCCTCAAAACATGTGGTTTAGACTTGTTAATGGGTTTGTACAAATTTTAACCATTGGTTATGAGTTGATTGAAAACTATTTTTGTAAAAACATAATTAAATTCTTCTCATTTTAAATTTTCAAATGTGAATTGTGTTCATTTTTTATAATTAGATAATTAAATTAAATATAATAATGTCAATGTTGTATAGTGATAAAGTAAAAATAGAAGTGTCGTAATTAAAAAAAATCAAAATAACTTTGAAAAATACAAACTATCATCTATAAATCAATAATAATACATATTTTGAAAATGATTTCTAATATTATCAACTATTTAAATGTAGAACAAAAATAATATAGAGTCACTTTTCTATCAGATATCCAATCATTTAATACATCAAAAATGAATATCCAACCATCAAATAAATGGTATTTGGATGTAGAATCACTTATTTGATACTCCGTATTTAGATATTAGTTTTCGGTGAGTTAAATGACCGAATTCTGAGTTTTTTCCCGGAATAATGCTGCTTAAATAAATAATTCCCAAAATACTGCTGGGTTAAAAATAATTCCCAAAATACTGCTGGGTTAATTTAATTTTGGATGGGTCCCACTGCATTTGTTGTTAGACTTGAGCATATATGTTACGTAAGTGTGTTGCTTTATGCTTTAAGAAAAGCCGCCACTTCAAGTGGCGGCTCTTGTACTGTGTAGAGAAAAGCCGTCATTTCAAGTGGCGTCTTTCCTTAACAACAGTTAACCCAGCAGTATTTTGAGAATTATTTTTAACCCAGCAGTATTTTGGGAATTATTTATTTATGCAGCATTATTCCGGGAAAAAACTCCCGAATTCTTAGTGAAAATTTGCTCTATATCGTTTTTTATATATGCAAGTTTGTGGTATTTATCTCACACCCTTTCAATGTTTGGGATACTTTTATTACTTTTTCCTTTATTGTCCAAATTGAACTTTGCACTCCGTTTTTAAAAAACTTTGTTTTTGCGCTACAGCCCGGTATGAAAAGACAAAAATGTCCCTCCAATACCAATTCGGTTTGTCTTGAATTTCTGATGGAGGGACAAATGAGTTATGGGAAGCTTGAATTTCTGACTTTAACTTTATTACACATCCCACATCTTAATATTTTTGGTTTTTTTATATCTCGTTAGACACATTATTTTTTTATCTTGTTAGACACATGATAAAGTAAAATTCGATAGCAATGGCATAATGAGTATTTTTATTATTCTGGATATCTCAGCTAAATATTTTCATTTATACGTTTAAACTTTAAAATGATTACAAACAATTATATATTTATGATTAAAGTAAAGATTGTTTATAAAAATGTGACTAATAACTTTTATTAAAAATATCCAAAACTTTATATAAAAAGTTATTTTTACACCATCGTTGTGTATTATTTCTTTCAAAAATGTAAATTTATTAGATTAATTGCACAATTTAAAATAGTAAATTAAAAGTGTTGCAATTATATATATTGTGGGTAACATAATTTATTTCGCAATGGAAGTTTAGAACGTTGATTGTGTTTTCATGAATTCTAAAATATTTTAAATTATACAATTAACAACATAATTTTACATTTTTGAAAAAAAATAATACTTGACTATGGTGCTAAAATAACTTTTTATACAATGTTTGTGGTATTTAAATTACATATTGAAGTTTTGGGTGCTCATCTCACATCCTTCAAAGTTTAGGGTATTTTAATTATTTTTTCCGACAATAAAATGGAGTGCAAGCTCAAATTACTCTTTTTATTTTCTTCAGTTTTCTTTTATCGAATTTTTTAATTTTGTAGAAAAACGTAAAATATTCATGTTAGTTTTTGCAAAAAGATCAACATGATTGATAGGTTACAAGTAATAACTGTGCAGTGTAGTTTAACTTTCATTATTCTCATTTAGAAATAATATTTTTTAAATTAGAAGTTGAAGGGTCAAACTGCACTGCACAGCTATTATTGTAACAATCCCCGATTTTTCCCACATAACTTGATGTTGAAAATAACGTTTCCAAGTGACATTAAAAAACTTTTGATACCGTAAAAGCTGCCGGTGTGGGTAATACATTTACGAGCAAAAGAAAAAGTGAAGATGGATTTCGTCGAATGACCAATTAAAAACTATTAGAAATATATGGAAGTTAATTAAAGTATCCAATTAGAGTCTTAATTACCCAAATGTGAGTCATTAAACCATGTCACCCAAGCAAATATCAGTTTTATTTTACGATCATCAATTCATCATAAGTGTTGCCATCTTGTATTCCAATCGCTGGGTTTCCAACGTATAGCTGGGTGCAAAATGGGTAAATAATATGTCATAATCTAAGATGAAATATTTTTGCAAATAAAACACAAATTCATTCCGCATGCACACATTCTGTTTGATTGATACTGTGGCTTTTGGCAATTTCTGCAGGCTTCAAAATTTTAATTCTTAAAATTGCATATATCGTTTCATAATCCAAGACAAGCTAATAGTCTATCGTTACCTACTTAGGGCATCCTCATTGGAAGGATTATTAAGAGATTAAATTGATGACATGGTGGATTTTTTGGAGGAGTATTATTGAGAGACATTGATTACTTAATGAGATTATTTGCTAGAATAATCCGGGATCAAAATATGAATCCGGATTATTTTAAGATTATTTGAAAAGTATATGTAATACGTTAATGCATGACTGAGAAAAAAGCGGATTATTTGAAGATGATGGTTGAGATGTATAAACAGATTTTGAGATTAATTAAAAATTAATTATGTAACAATATTTAAAAGGTAAGGATCATAGAATATATTGATTTTTAGAGATTACGAATGGTGATGCTCTTACATCCACAAAGATCTAATAATATCAAACCTATTTGCCTTCCCAAGACTTGCCTCAATTTCCCAAATTAATCGGTTTGAATGCCTAAAGCTATATGCATTTAATGTTATCTTAAGGTATAAAAGCGTTCGATCATCGAACTTCGATGTGGAAAAAGTAATAGGAAGAAGTTTAAGAGCCCGTTTGGTAGCACGCAAATCGGCTGTTTTAGCTGTTTTTGCTGAAATTTCTGAAGTTCTGGCTGAAGTGGCTGCATTGGCTGATTCTGCTGATTTAAGAAACAATTATTTTTAAAGTATATTTTATTAATAAAATAAACAAAAAATTATATGTAAAAATAGCTAAAATGGTCATCTACAGTAACTTCAGCCAAAACAGCCAGAAAAGTAACTCCAACCTTACTTTTTCTGCTTATTACACAACTCAGCGCTCAAAAGTAAAAATTACGTGTTTGGTGAAAAAGTTGGCTGATAAGTCTGATAAGTACAGTTAGGCTTTCAATCCACAAAATAATTAAATTGGGAATTCCTACTCGGCAGATCTTGTACGAACTCTACACGACTGCACCTCTTTCTCCTTCGGTTGCGAACGTATTCTCCTGCGATATAAATTATTTTAGGACAACATAATTGACTAGAACGATGATGAGCCTGAGATGAAGGGAATAGTCTCCTATGATTAAGCCATTATTATTCTTTATCCATTCAAATGAGTTTTTAAGCTAAAGGATCAAATAGATCCTCGAACTAACTTAAAAAGTGCAATTCACCCCTTATATATAAGAGACTCTGTCTGGCCGTCGCCAATTGGGGTGGTTTCCGGTGGATTTTTTTGATAAATTTTTTTTTAGCATCTTCTTCATTAAGTCTAGTTTACCCATATCAAACTTCAGATAAAACTTCAACCGGGAAGACAGTCAAATGATTTTATGAAATGTACTGCGCTGTTTAACTGCGCTGTTATCTTCAAAAATTCATTTGACTGTCTTCCCGGTTGATTTTTTATCTGAAATTTGGTATGAGTAAACTAGACTTAATGAAGAAGATCCTAAAAAAAACAAGAAGAAGATGCTAAAAAAAATTCATCAAAAAATTCCACCGGGAACCGCCTCAATTGACGATGGCGGGACAGAGCCTCCTATATAAATTAGGGGATGAAATGCACTTTTTAAGTTAGTTCGATAGACTATTTGACCCTTTCGCCAGTTTTTTATGTTCATTTCCTCATAGGATTGAATTTCTTTTGAAAGAAAAACACCAAATTATATTAATTTATCCAATATCCGCCAACTATTTTCTAATAGATTTCATCTAGTCTAGACTTAATAAAAGCCCTACGATGAGAATCTGAGGAGGTCGCCTCAAAGAAGCAACATAAATCGTTGATCAACATAAGGGCGCCATAGAATTCTTTCTGACCCTTAAGGTGTCACAATACTCTTTACCAATTCAACAAATTCAAAATAGCTAACCAAGCATTCCAGCCCAGCTGGTTGCGAAGTTACCGTGCCTAGTGAGAGGTCCCGAGTTTGAAACCGAAACTCAATGGAGTGAGTTTCAGCCCCTATTACTCCAGGCTTCCCCAGCCCCCCTCCCCCAGACCCCCTGGAGTAAAAAAACAAATTCAAAATAGCCAAAGAGTTCCCTCAATCTCTGATGAGACATAGAAAAATTTACCCAAAATAGAACACAATTTTTCGCTAAACACATGGGAGATTTGAGGCAAATAACGGCTATTAGTAGGGGTGTGCATCGGTTCAAAACCGGACCGGAACCGGAACCGGATTTGCAAGAAAATAGAAACTGAAAACCGGATTGGATATATTCCGGTTTTGAACCGGAACCGAACCGGTTTAACCGGTTCAAAACCGGAACCGGGCCGGAAAACCCATTTCTAAATTATTAATTCAATTTACTACCAAACACTACTTATTTATTTAATAAAAATACGGGTATTTGTGACTAGTAATATTACTATTACTATTATTATTTATTTAATTACTTTTATTAGTCTTGGTCTCTTAGAGAGCAAAGATTGAAGCAATTTGAGCGTAAAATAGTAGATATGAGTTAATACTATCTATTATCAAGTAAATAAGAATAAATAGATGAATAAAACATTAGAACAATATACACTACATATTAAAACAATTATTATTTATATTTTTATTACTATTACTACGTATTATTTTTGTTATTCTATAACTATTTTATATTAATACTATTAATTAATATTTTAAAAATATAGCAGTACCGGTTTAATCCGGTTCAAACCGGAATAATCCAGTTTTTAACCGGAACCGGACCGGAAACCGGATTTCTAAAATTTGAAAACCGAAAACCGGACCGGATATCATCCGATTCGGTTCGGTTCCGGTTTTTTTGGTCCGGTCCGGTTTGAACCAATTTATGAACACCCCTAGCTATAAGCACTCCAATAAAACCACTGACACAAGCAAGCCAAAAGACAATAAAAAGTCTAAAAAGACACAAGTAAAGCTAGAAAGAAAGCGGAGCTAGATCCAAACTTGAAGCGTCTTTTTCCAAACCCTAACCACATGATCCCTCCATGAGACCATGACGACGGTTCAGGAAGAGCAAACTGGCAGTACTCATCTTCTTCCCCGCCCTTCTCCTTGTGTATCACATTCTCCTTGAAACCGCACACACAGATGTGAACTAGACTTGCACCAGACGGAAAATTCGCACTAGGAATCATAAAACACTTATCGCCGCTACTCCAAAATCTGTCGTTGATGCCAAGTCAAACGCCGGTATTCTTGTTGGTGCATACATGATGAAATTCATAAGGAAAACTTGCCACACCAACCCTCAAGTCCAAGGCGGCGGTGTAGACATCAAACCCTAACAACAGGGAAAGGACCACCAGGAATCACCCAAACAATTGAAAATTTGCTACCTCATTTAAATCGGTCTACAAACTTGGCAACCATAGAAAATCTTCACTGGAAACGATATCAAATAATCAAATTAAGATATTCCAGACGGACCTTATACATTCATTCTCATTTTCTCAATAACTATTGTTTAAGAATCACATAGCTGATAAGTGATAACTAGTTTTAACAGTTTTATCATTATCGCCATATAGTGCCGCTTTTTCTCAACAGTGACTAATTACAACTCACAAGATTACATAACCCACCTCGGAATTCAGATAACAGTAAACTCAGCTAGAAATGAAGAGCACAAAATTTGCATAAATGTACATCTCATACAAAGATTTTGGGCCATTCTTTGCCTGTTAACTAGCTTTCTCTCCTTTGTTCATCTTTTTGTTTTTCTTTTGTTTTTGCTTGAGTTGTGTCAGACCTGCAGAAGTAATTTTAACATTGCCGATAATAGCGGCAACAAGCTCGGGATCTGTGCATGCCTTCATCAATTCTCTCTCTCTGCTTGTAGCCTCTGGCATTTGACTAAACAAATTCATTGCTGTCTTTGCCGCTGCCAACGTAAACACAGAACATTGACATCCCAGGACGAGTTACACAATTTTTTGAAAGTGCAAACAGGAAATAAAAAACAAAACTGTGAAAATGATAGGCCGAAGACCCCAAAAAATAACCCCAATTCATTCTGAAACTCTTCACCCAGTTATTTAGCCCCTGAATAACTCAATAATGACCTTGAATTTTATAGAAGTCCTAATTGAGCTTGGACATACTGTGGATGCATGTGTCTCAAACACAATGGCAATTAGGTCCATGAATAATGCTTTCAGTGAACAACATTTAACTCCACACTATAAACCCAAAAATTTAGCCAAAATTTATGAAAAGTGCTGTTCAATAGTATCAACTGGTTTTACTGTCGTTTACGACATTCTTCATGTGTCTTATTGCATTAGTGTTTGAGGAGCCTGCATGCACAATATGTGCAAAGTCAATCATGACTTTTTGCTAAGTTGAGGGTCATTATTAGGGTGCAAAATGGTATGCTTAAAGAGTTGAGGGTCAATTGAGATTTTTCTTTTTAATTTGGGGTCAGTTTTTTAGCACTTGGCCGAAATAGATACCTTTTCCTTTCTTAACAGAACCAGGAACTAGCTTGACACGGTATTTGTATGACTGAATGGCGTTATAAGGACCACAGACGGGAACTGCATATAGGAGAATATCATCTGGCAATGGATTGCCAGTCAGATAGTCCACGTCATTCAATTTTTCTTTCTCCTCGTCGCCAATCTCATGAACATCATCCTCCTCCATCAGCATATTATCTCTCTTCTCCGCATTACTATTTTGGCCACCAGTCTCAGAGTGACCATCCCCACCATTTACAGTACTCTGTACAGATGGTTGATCTTGATGCTCTTTACAATCCCTAGACAAATGCCCAGCCTTCTTACACTTGTAACATATTTTTGGACCATCATCGGCCGCCTTTGGTTTTGTTCCAACCTCCTTTACAGCATTTTCAGCCTCTATTGCTTTTTCATTCTTCTCAGCTTTCCCAGCAGGCTGAAAGTATCAATGAAATGGTGTATGTACTGTTAGGGATGATTATGCTATGAGTGCTTTATAACAGCTGTTTTCTCATGCAAGCATTAATTTCTTAAATATGCACAAAAAAATGGTTTTTCTTAAAATATCAAAATCATATGTTAATTTAGTTGCCAAATATTGTTTTTGTTGTGAATGATTTTCTTCCTATAAAAAAACATATGGAGTATTATACTTAGAAAACAAGTTAACTTAAAAACACCCTAGTTTTCTGTGTTACAAAGAACACTAGTAGAATGTTCTGAGGTTCTAGGGTGTCTAGAATATAAGTCATCCTATGTAATATATAGGTAAAAGTACAGAAAAGGTACTTGTGGTTGAGCCCGTTTTCAGATAGGGTCATGTGTTTCATTCTTTATCAAAGTGGTTCATGTGTTTGAATTCCGTTATCACAAGAGGGTTACGCCGTTAAAAACGTCTGAGAAAGACGGTTAAAAGTAACTCCGAATTTCAGAAGTGCCGGGAAAATTAAAAGAAAAATACCGAAAGGTGTGACTCGTCAAGATGACCTCCAAACCACCTTCGCCTTTGGATTTTTCGGATCTGTTTGAATTATTTTTTAAAAATGATTTCGCTAAAATCACTTTTCCAGTGGACTTTCCGGTGACAAGGGTGGCTGAAAACAAAAAAAGAAAGGTGGCCTAGCGGTCATCTTATTGAGGCGCACCTTCCGGTATTTTTCTTTTAATTTTTTGGGCACTTTTGAAAATCGGAGTTACTTTTAAACGTCTTTCTCAGACGTTTTTAACGCCGTGACCCTCTTGTGATAACGGAATTCAAACACATGAACCACTTTGATAAAGAATGAAACACATGACCCTATCTGAAAACGGGCCCAATCACAAGTACCTTTTCCATACTTTTCCCTAATATATATTAATATAAGTCATTCTAAAGTTCTAAACACACCCTTGTTCCAAAATAAAGTCATCCCATGTATTAATATAAGTCGTCTAACGTATGTCAATGAATAAATTAAATCCAAAATACGGTGAATACCTAATACTATCGTATAAAATTAAACTGCAGTAGGTGACAATTAAAATACTTACAGCCAAAAGGGCCATCCGAATGTTCCGTTCCTCCTCGTCCTGATCTGCGTATTTCTCTTTTATCTTCTTGAGTTTACTCTTTTGCCCCCTGCTGAGTTTAGCACCAGCAGGCTTTGCAGGGTTAGCATTTTTATCACTCTCTGTGCTAAGCTTCCCTTCTTCCACTTTCCCACCAGTCTCAGCATTTTCACCCACAGTGCTCTCATTTATTCCTTTCTTCAACTTTCTTCTTTCAGATTTCGAAACATAGGGTTTATCTCTCAGTGCAGCCTTTTTCTCCTCATCAGTTTGCTGCTTGCTTGATTCTGATGATGCAAAAGGGAAGCCATGGTTTTTAGATGTGGCAGAACCTATCTCAAGAGCTCTATCAATAAGATCCTCCAGCTGTGATGTAACTGAATCAACCATTTTCCCAGAAGAAGACAATCCTTCTACATTTGATTTATTTCTTGATGAACCCAATATATCAGTTGAATCTACTGCAGTAGGCTTGTCAGCCTCCTCCTCATCATCAGATTCAGAATCAGGAGTTACTTTTGAAGCTTCACCTTTATCAGCATCAATAATTCCTTCTTCTTCGCCTCTCACCCTCCTTTCATTTAAATGAGAACCTAGAGAACTCTCTTCCAAGCGAAATAATATTCCGAATCCCATAACAAGAGGGTGTGGGGGAAGGAAATTCTTTTTACCACGGATCATGAAACTTCCAACAGTGAGATATTCTCCTGTAGGAGCAGTTTTACTGACTTGATGAGGATACACCCACCAAGCACTAGTTACCATTTTCGAGTCCCATGCCTGGCTGAAGCAAACCTGGATAATAGCAACCATGTATCAATGATAGTCAAAGTGATATTTATGGATGAATGGAAAATAAGTTAGGTGAGTGATGTAATTCTTTAAAACTTACAGTATAGCATCCTGTTTGGTTCAAAGTGAGAGGAGGTATAGGAAGATCAGGCTTGTGATTCTTGATCACTGTGCTGGATGCTCCGTGGAGATCAGCATGTACATACCTATATCATGGAAAACCCATCAATCTCAGCATACTTGAGAAAAGGTGCATGAGCTCTATAAGCTTGACAATGTTGATTAGAAAATGAAAATAATAAAATCACATCAGATATGCAACTTCAAGTCACAATCTGAAAATTCAGATTTCATATTTAAAGACAATTAGAGGAGAACTCAATATAAGTAAAAACTCAAGTTGTCAACAGCTTTGAGCAGTATGCTCTTTCCTCTTTATTGTATCGTCAAAGCTGCTTGTGTGGGAGTTTCAGGGCCATTGGACTTTGGGACATACTCCATTGATTATTGAAATTCTAGTGGCATTATTAATGGGATGATTGAAATTGTTGTAGGAAAAAATTACTTACAAATCCCCCTTGGACATATACCGCTTGACAATCATTTCATTCTGGTGTGCATCACGACCACTTATGACCAAATAATTCTCACTGCTAACGAACCAATTGAATTTTTCAAACCAATGAACTTTGCGAATATGTGAAATAGCAGCAACAGTTTTTTCCTGCAAATTTATTTAAAGAGAGATCAATCACACAACAGAAAAAAAGACAAACACTGGGTTTTAGTTGAGTTCTTTATCCTGTTAAAAAAACACTTTGTTCCAATCCTTATAGTTCCTAGTGTTTGAGGAAGTAGTATTAGCTTATCAAAGCTAGACATTAAATATTGCAAGTCACGTCTTTTTTTTGTCAGAGCAGCTTTGTCATAGGGCAGCATTTTGTAGAACCACATTTATCAGAAACACTTCTTATAACTACTTTTAATAAAAGCATATTGAAACAGCCAAATATATTTTGCTACCTGAGATAATTGTTGTCGTGTCTTTCTCTCAGCAGCTTTAAATGCTTTATCATATGAAGTAATAGTTTTCTCGTGTTTATTCTCTTGTTTTTTCTTCATTCCATACCATCGCCGAGCATTTGCATGAGCTGAAAGTGACAGATCAACTTCGACCTAGAAAATGAAACACGGTGATTAAAGAACATAAACACAACAATTGATAGTGTGTTATGTTAGTATTCTGATTGGTTCCAACTATATCTTTAAAATAGAATGTTGAGTGACTCAGACCTTGACAAAGAACTTAAAACTAGCAGAAAGATTCATCATAAATATTACCATTGCCTATTGACATTTCCAAACCTATCATTATGTTCATCCACAAATTAAGAAAGGTGTCTCGATTATTCAGACATGGAGAGAAGCTAATTGGACTGCCCATTATCTTGCTTCTTCTTCCTTTGGCTTTATTCAGACTTTTTATAGGCCCAAAGATCTGCCCACTCAGGCCCGTCAGGCATATTATGGTGATTTATTTGGGATCCCTTCTTTTAGATATTTTTAATTGCTTTATTGGGTAAGGTTTGGTCCCCCCAATTTTTATTTTATTGAGTTGATCTTTAATTTATTTATGTATTCATTCAAAGAGGTATTGGCCTGGTACCCCTCTTTTTTGTACTATCCACTATTTCAATAAACTCTGGTAAATGTTTCCCGGCATTTACCCCACTTATTTTGGTGGTTGACCTTCCGGGCTAAAAAACAACTAAGACATTCTTAAATCACAAAAAAAAAAGCATTGGAAAAGCAGAAGGTTCGACTATGTCATACTTTGTCCACAGGCTGCGTCTTTTCGCTGTCATCCATTTCATCTAAATTGTTGCTTAGAAGTAAGGTCATGCAATTTTTTTCAAGATGTAACTTGTCAATAAGTCCTGCAACTGGGTTCCCAGATTTCTTTTCCTCTTTCACCATACGAGCCAGATCTTCCCAACTCATTCCTTTTGCAAGTGCAACACGGACTGCTACAATGGCAGCATCAACGTCTTCCAAGCTATATTCTATCAGTTCTGCCATTTTAACACAGTGCTCAACTTCGTTCTTTAATGATAAAACACGATTTTCCTGCAGTATACAAAAGAAAATTTTACTAAGCAAGGTAACATTAATATGAAATATCTGCAAGTTCCAGTTCTCAATATTAAAAACATTAAACGAACACAGTCAAACAAGTGCACTAGATTGCATATATGTAGTTAAATTACAAGTATTTATAGGCTGCCTCTATTAATCTTGTTCTAACTGCTTTATTCATGTGGAGTTGTACACAATATAAGAACACCTTCAAATTATCAAGCATCAAATAATCATATGTGCAGACCTGGTCAGTGCGGATCTTACTGAGCTTCTGCATAGCAGAGTTCTCTTTGGCTTTTATTTGTTGCTCAACGCGTTGGCTTTCAATTTTCGTATAGAACTCATCTAGTGCAGCATCAAATGTCTCAAACATTAGAGAGGCCCTTGACTTGAACTGGTTCAGTAATAGTGGGCAAAATTCATCATAAATCTGCAGAACAAAACGTATAGATGTATATATCAATGTCAAATTAGAAGAAGAAAAGTTCAGTATATATCTGCACTAACACAATGCAAATACAGAATAAAAAGCACAACCTTTTCAGAAGCTCCAGTTTCAGATGGGCTATCCTTTTTACCCACAACCCTTTGCTGCATCAGAATGTAACCCTCAGGGACTTTTTCACCAGACATAATGTCTTCCAGCCAGTCCTCAAATTTTCTGACAGCTTCCATCAGTGAATTCAGAGTACCATCTTCTAATTTAAAATCATTCCCAACTTTTGTACTTGGAATTAAGCCAGCATCTAAAATCATATGTTCAGAAAGTGCTGGTCCATAGCCCAATGCCTCCCCAAGGACTGACTTCAAAGTCACCTGTTTGGCACGGGTCCCATCCTTTTTAGTAGATTCAGATATCTTTTTGCCTTTGCCGACTTCCTTTCCTTGTTGCACATCAGAGCTATCAAGTCCATCCTCAGTAAGTTGTAAAGGTTCTTTTTCAGTAGATGCTGCAGAAAATAGCAAGGCAGTCTGTAACTTTTCACTGGTAGTCCTGTTAAAACTACGGCATATTTCAACTGGATAGCTGTGACGAGACATGATCGCTAAGCCTTTATCATCATCTCTGCAAAATGTGAGACTCACTGTAACTTAACTTTCACGCATTGAAAATCCTAATATAGCAAAAAGATTTTTGATGAAATACTTATTGTACACTACCTTTGTGAAAACAGAAAGAGCATTGTAAAAGAAACATTAGAAGTTAAGCAAACTTTCAATACTCGTAGAATATAAGACTTAAAGATTATTTTGATGTTGGGGTGCAAATACAAACCTGAATTTTTTATCTTTAAGCAAAAACACACGAAACTCAACTTCTGATTTGAATTTTAACATTGAACACGTACAATTTCATTTATTACCAATTTGCCAAAATATTCAATCAAAATAGTTCACGACACAAATTCCAAAATATAGTTAACTATTTTTGGTGTACCTGTGATAAATTCAACCAAAAATCCAAAACTGCTCTGGGCAGATTCAAATGACAAAGTTGAATACTGTTATGCTGTTTCTTACAATTTATATACTGTAACGATCCCACACTGATCAAGTATGGGCTTGATCGGTGGTTTATAAGTTGGTGTCCCCTCCTCCAAATTGGCTAGTCTTTTGGGAGAGAGTGCTACACATGGGCTTATGGCCTTGTTCTGGGCCTAGTATGGGCTAGATCCGTAACAATTGGTCTCAGCACCGTCCCCATCTTCCTTGTCCCAACACTCGGAGTGGTGACCTACGGAGTGGTGGCTTAGGCCCTGGGGGTGCCAACCATGACCAACATAGCCATGACTAACGAGTACGTTGACTCTTCAAAGCGTGGGGTATTGTAACAATCTCACACCGATCAAGTATGTGCTTGATCGGTGGTTTATAAGCGGGTGTCCTCTCCTCCTAATTGGCTAGTCTTTTGGGAGAGAGTTCTGTACCTAGGCTTATGGCCTTGTTTAGGGCCTAGTATGGGCTATATCTGTAACATATACTCTATATTAAGACGTTGGTTTAAAAAAAGGTGCAATTTATTAATTGTTATATGAGCAAGTCATATAAGTAATTCAAACAAATAGTTTATTATTAAAATGCCAAAATATTTTGTCAAAACCAAAAAAAAACCAAAATGCTATACTCCCTACATCCCAAATTGATTTGCAATGTCAACATTTTTTAACCAACCAATGTTAAAGTTAAATCCTCCCTATTGATAATTCATTCAAGTTTTAATAATTAAAATTTACATGCTCAAAAACTACATTAAAATCTCTACAAAGTTGCAAGTTCCAAATAAAAAACAATTAATAACTGATATCCTAATTAAGTGAATAAAATGAAACTATTTAACCCAAAAGAAAGTGACTTTGCAAATCAATTTGGGACAGAGGTAGTACGATTTATATACTAAATTTATAACCAAGTAAAAAACAGAAAGTTCATTTTTAACATTATCAATATACTTCACCTAATATATACTCCATCCATATCATTACAAGTGTCACAGTTCACGTAGTTTAATTTAATGTTGTAGGTTTATTGTAGACTTTTTAAAAAGTAGGAAGTATGTGGTATTGTAGGAGTACTGCAGATCTTATTAAAGTATCTTGAAACTGCTTTTGGGATAGATTTATTTTCGAAAAAGGAAATGTGACAATTAATTTGATACGGCTCTAAAAGGAATATGTGACAGTTATAGTGATGTGAATTCACGGCAGGAATACGTTTTATATGTTAAAATAAGAAAATTATATTGTTCGGATGCTAAACTTTTACTCCCTCCGTATTTTAAAGTTTGCTACACTTTCCTTTTTGGGATGTATTTAAAAGTTTGCTACACTTTCCGTTTTTGGTAAGTTTTTCCTTTAAAAATACACAACTACCCTTACTTTTTCTACTTTTTATCTTCTTTTTCATACTTTTATACACTCTCTCTTACTTTTTCTACACTATTCACTACCCCTACTGTTTTCTCCTAAAACATTGTTCCAAAAGCTATTGTAGAGAACATATAAATACGGAAGGAGTATTACAAATTGAGTATTGTGCCTGTTATGTATAAAAATGAACTGTTTTGTGTTTTTACTCCTATAAAAATTTTTGGGTGCTCACTTGAAATGTTAATTATTAAATGTTGAATCATAGCTAACAAAGAGTTTAAAAGTTTTTTAAATATTATATATGTCTTTATATGTGATGAAGACAAACAGATGTGCTAGATTGGTGCCACAATTCGAATAAAAGTTGATATTTGTGCATTATGCCCTAATTTTAGATAGTGCTTTTTTGGTTCAAGAAAAAAGGGTAAGGTGCTTATTTGCACTTCAATGCAAACACTCAGATTGTTATTGAACGCAAAAGATATTGGCAATCAGATGTAAATGTTGAGGGTGTTTTAAGTGTTTTGACACTCTTTCCTTTAAATCTACAGTGCCAATTGATTGTGTAAAAATAATTAGCACTATAAACTCAATCAAAGAAAGAAAAAATACATGTACCTGTGTGAACGAAGAAGTGTCAATACCATGAAATCAGAATCAGTAAGAATAATATTTCCCTGAGCATATAGCTCTAATATTACATAGAAAGCATTAGATCCCAGTCCAAACTGAAAGAGGATTATCTGTAAAAGAAGTCAATGGCTCAGAACATATAGAACTATAAAAGTGTACAGATAAAATCTGAAATAAAGTCACAAGTGAAATGATGTACCCTGTCATAACCAAGTTGCCGCACATCCTCAAGCCTTTTTGGCCGTATATGCTTCCTCAATTTAAGTGTAAAACCAGAAGGGGTGTTATTTTTGTCACTGCATATAACAAAGAACATTGCAAGATCATGGAGCTATTGTACAGTAGCAGTGTCAGGACCCCCGTCCCTTTGTATGTCTACTATCTATATGATATACAGTATACAGTATTGTTTGGATGGTTCTTAAATCTTAACATATTAAGGCATACTAATAAAATAATGTATGAAATGATAGGATATTTTTTCATTTATTTACTTTCATCTTTTTATAATTTATCCGTAGTAGATTGTGATCAAGCTGATGTCAAGTTAAGTGATCTCATCAACAACACTGTTACAGGGTTACTAGAGATTATATGATTCAATAAACCGAAGTTGAAAATACTTTGGAAAGAACGAAACTAGATAAATCAGTTGGTTTCTAATGAAGTTTATATTGAAGTTTATAAGTGCTTAGGAGAAGTTGGGGAGGCATTGGGCTATGTCTGTTTACAGTCAACTACTGTGAGGAATTTAAAGTTTAATTATATCCAAAGCACCAAATGAGCTAAATATCTACACAAAGCCCATGCTTTCATAGTTTGGAAAGAAAAACACAACGTTTAGAAGCCAAAAGTAAACAGCTTGTATGGAGAAGGGTGTGCATACCGGAGATATGCCGTGGTGTGCAATCTAATCCCACTTTCCATCAACAGCAATACCTTCTCACTCTCCCCAGATTCCGTCATTCCGCTGCTGTTCGAAAGTTTAAACACATAGGTCTGCAGGTAAAAGCAGCTCACTTGTATATTAATATTTCTTCAGGAAGAGAAAGTGAGCATTGAATCGAAAGAATACCTTGGGCGAGATATCGTAGACATTAGAACAGCGCATGCCGATTAATCGGCGCAAGCATTTAACCTCGGCGGCCACATCGGCCGTGTTCATTCTGACCTTCACCATTTTTAGCAATTATAAGCTTACAAATACCCCTTCTTCTTCTTTCGACTACTACTGCGGCCTTGATTAAATTGAGTGTAGTTGTTTTTGAAGAAAGGGAGAGAGATATTTGCAGAGAAGCAACTATGGAATTCAGGTAGAACTTGGGCTGCAGAAAATCCAAAATCAATTTCTCCAGTCTCGTGTATTGTGGAAAATGAAACGAACACACAGATGACAGAAATAGTCTCAGGAAGAAAATGAAATTATAAAATGACTTGTGCTGCAAAGTGCAAACTACATAAATCAGCTCTATGCCACGTGACCAAAACTTTTCAAATTGATTTTATTTTATGATTCAATTTTTACAAGTATTAAATTATTTAATTGCTTGCTATCTTTCATATAACATCCATATTGCATATGTGAAGTCTAAAATAATGGAGTAGATTTCTCAAAGTCTTACATATGCAATATTATTAGTATTGTTGGGATATTGGACTCCGGCCGGACTTTACCTCAACATGTACCATACGAAAGATCATAAAAAATAATGTAAAAAGAGACTATAAATTAAAAAAATAAGATGTTTTAGTTGGACTGGAATTTTTTTGGTTTGAACTGATCTGGTATGGTCTGATTTAGTCTGATCTGATTTGATCTGATCTAATCTGGATTGAACTGGTCTGATAAATGCTTGATTTATGTGTATTTTATAACTGCCGAAATATGATATGGTCTAGTCTGAGACTGAAATAAGTCCTAGTAAAAACATTCTGAATAAGCATTTGAAAATTCGAATTCAAGATTTTGATTACTTATATTTTGAAAAGAGATTAATTTTAAATATTACTCCCTCCGTCCCACTATGATTGTCTCATTTTACCATTTCGGTTCGATCCACCAAGATTGTCTCATACTTTATTTGGTAAAGTTTGTGTGGTTCTAAATCATTCCTACTTTATTCTTACTTTATCAATTCAATATCAACCACACAAACTCATTTTTATTAATAACCGTGCCACATTTTCTTTGTCCCAAACTTAGGGGGGCGGAGGTAGTATATGTGTAAAGTAATTAGGAGTAAAATGGATAGTGTTGAAAGAAAAAATAATTTTGAAAAGTACGGAGTACAAGTTAGAGCGTTTGAAATAAGGTTACGACGTATTTTTTTATGTAGTTAAAAAAAGCAATTTAAAGCATCATTCACTTGCAATGAAAAGTAAGTTAGAGACTTAGAGTGTTTGCTTTTAACACTATTAATTAAAACTAAAAACTAAAAAACACTTTTTTAAAGCAATGTCAAACACTCTCTGGACTACTTAGTATGGATAAACACATAGATGAGTAATTGCCCAAACTCTTTGTAGACATCAGGTTTTACACTATTGTACCTAATAATGAGTTGAGTCTATGGAACGTTGTCTAAAAAACTTGTAAATTGCTTATATAAACAATTTTTTCGCTTCATTTATGCATTTGTTTGTGTACTTTGCACTGATATCTATATTGTGAGCACAAAAAAATATTTATATGAGACGTGAAGGCTTTGATTCCTTCACTCGCTTGCTCTCAATGATGAAATCTTTTTATCCTATAGAATTTGTGCAAGAATTTAATAGTATCAAACTCTAAACTAAATTTATGCCCACCGCGTACACAGAAAATGCCTCATTTTTCGAGAGCTAACCCCCTTACTCTTATTTGCTACACTCAATCTTTGATCACTTACTTCAAAGTGCACCATTCGAAATTTCGAATTAAGGAAGCTTCCCATTTGAGTAACTTTTGTTCTTTGTACGTATTCAAACGATAATGTCGTTAGCCGTAAGGCTCCATGGTAACTAGTAAGTACTCCTTTACCCGGGAATCCGGGATGGAGGGAGTATATTATTCATGGAACAATTTTTTGTTAGTTGTTTTGAAATTTCATTTTCTTATAATTTAATATAAATCTATTAAAATAAAAAATTATGGTGTAGTAATTGGCAACATGAAACATAATTAGTTTACAAAACATTATGTAAAACAATTTTTTGGCCACAATATATGCAGCCTCACACTGCGGGTATAGGTTTGTCAGGTTAGGATTATAAAATTTTGGTCTGACCTAAAATAAGTGATCAAAGATTGAGCATAACCACTATGGCCTATGAGCTGAGTCAATTCAGGACAAGTTGGTCCGTTTGATAACTTTACATATGCTCCGGTCAGTTCACATCTGTTTTGATTTTTTTTTAAAAAAAAATTGTTTAGGTGTAGTATATTGTATTTTATTTATTTTAATAATATATATGTATATCAGTATATTTTAAATATATTATATACATTTATCCAAACAAGTACCAGGAACTCTGGAAGTCTGGAACATCCAGCTCCAGTTCTACTTGTGCTGTTGTGCATAGTCATTTCGAGACTGGACACCAGTAGGGGTGGGCAAAAATCCCAGTCCCGGTGTCTCAAACCGAAAAATCCTGATACCGTTCCGAAACTATCCTGATCCATTTAGGACGCAATTTTTTCATCCCGAACAGGCCCCACATCGATATTGAACGGGACGGGACCGGGATAGCTATAAAATATCATGTCCCGTCTAGGTGTCCCGTTTGAAATTAATATGTTATTTTAAATTTCTAATGTAATGTAATAGTCAAACCCAATTAAAACTTTCTAGTCCTTAGTCTCCCTAATGTAATTTTATCTTATTTCATGTCTCTCTTAGTTTCATTTCTTTAGTTTCTTTTGATTAAAATTTGTTTACTTCTCATTCCAATACTAATCCATAATTTATTATTACGTGCGGAATACTATTTATGATGTAATAACTACTACTCCAAATTATAGTGTTATTATAGATTTATTTTCCAAAATAACTACTAGAAAATATATATAGTGTCTTTATAGATATGATATTTAATTTAATGTGGTATTGAAAAATTACAAGTATACTACAAAGTATAAAAATATTTTGCATTACTATTCTACTAGAGGAAACACAAGATTAGGGAGGCCAAAAAAATTTACAAGACAAAACTGTAAATAGTTAATTAAAGGTTTTACTTAACTTTTTGGGGAAGCTAAATTTGCAAAATAGTTACATCTTTATATTGATGTTATGATTATTTTTATATCACATTTCACAAATGCATATTTTATAGGATGTCCCAAACCGTCCCGGTTTTTCTCGGGTTGTCCCGGTCCCATTTTAAATGGGGACAACATTGGGATAAAGACTTATCTCGTACTGAACCGAATCGTTCTTATTAAACCGGGACCGTCCCGAACGGATCCAGGATTTCGAGTCAAGGGGGGCGAAAATTTTTCATTAGTGTAGGGAGTGAAAAAATTTCGCTAGTAAGCGGAACGAGAAAAAAATCGCTAGTGTAACGGGGCGAATTTTTTCGCTAGTGTAAGACTGTGTGACTAATTTTTATTTAAAAAGTTCCATTAGTACATACAAAGTACTATATACACGATGACAATTAAATCTATTATATTCTAATTCTAATTTTAGACAATGAAAAGATAACTTTGATTTAATAACTATAAGTGCTCCAGAAAAAAATATTAATACATAAAAGCTTAAGAATTGACAAATTAAAGGAAAATTATTTGAAAATAAGAAAGGATATGATATACGTAATATAACATTTTATGATATTATTTGAAGGTAAAGTGGTTAAAGTTAAAGGTACACATCAACCAATGCTTTTTAAGTAACTTATGTCTTGTTTAACCACATGAATCTTAACAGGATAAAGAATTGGTTTTTGAATTGAAATTTTTGTCTACCAAGAAGGGTATTTGTGGGTCATGATGAGTTTTCTTAATATTACAATAGTATGTATGAGATTATTATACTTAGAATAATATGATACATAGTAATGTTAATTCATATATATATATATGGTGCATATTATATTTGTATTAATGCTAAAATAAGTTAAAGTATTATTTATTCAACAAATTGTTTTTAGAAAGTAAGAGGTAAATGAAATGTGTAATTTAATGTCAACAAACATTTATACTATTTAACTATTGTATCTGATATTCAATATCTTTTGATATCTTACAAAATCGAGTACTAATTATCTAATAAAGATAATTAAACACTACATAACTAAGAATTTTTTGGTACCCTAAGTCTTAAACAACGAGTTCTATTATTTATTTGTTTAAATTATGTAAATTATTTTAGATTCTACTTCTTTTAAATCTCCAATTAAGCATTGCATTATGTGAGCCTATATATTAATTTTGAAAACTAAAAGTTAAGGGGGGCGAAAACATATATACCTAATTAAAGTATGAAAATTTTATGAAAATATTATATATATATAGTAGAAAAATTTGGATGTCCAAGGGGGGCGGTCGCCCCCCCCGCGCCCCCCCTTGGATCCGTCCCTGCCGGGACGGGATCGGGATAAGCCAAATCTCGGACCGTGCCCACCCCTAGACACCAGCACTGTGGAACCCAAAGCAGACCAAAACCAGCCAATTTCCATTCATGTTTGTTCATAAATCATCACCGGATTTTATAAACAATGAGGATGGGCTTCACCGAAACTGCAACTTCAATCCGGAAATATAGATGTGTGTAGTGATGGTCTCGGTGCGGGCCACCCGACCCGGGAACCGGCCCGGTTTAAGAATGAAACTGGGGCCGGTTCCGGGATTGATTAAATGTGAACCGGGCCGGCCAGGCGGGACCCGGTTCAGGCCTTTTTATGGGGGGGGGTTGGGCTGGGTTTAAATGGGCTGGGCTGGGTGTTTCCGATGGGTTTGGGGGATTGGGGGTAGGGGATGAAATAATCAAGAAAACAAAAAAATAGACCCGGCCCAGACCAAGCCCGGAACCGGTAGACAACCGGGACAGTCCCAGGCCTAAACCATTTCCATCCAGACCCGGCCGGGCCTAGGCCCGACCCGGACCTAGGTCCATCACTAGATGTGCGGAATACTGACGGATCACAATTTCACTTTAATTAATAAGTTAAATGTTTATTCACTCTGTTGAAGTGTTCTTTGGAAAATGCACTTGTTAGTTCTGTAGAGTGTTAGCTACATAATATTGAAAGGTATTTTTTCTTTTTGTTTTTAAAACAAAATGTATGCTATTGCCAGATGTGCGTTCTGAATGAAATTATAAAATACATACATTTGACAGATGTGCAACATCATCCAACTTCAAGTGAACTATGGATTAACAACAACAAACGTTCTAAATCACTGCCGCCTGCCGGCTATAAAAACTAATACGATTTGCGGCCATTTTTTGCAGGGGCAACTATCTGACAAATGAAAAGGGAGTTACACTTGTCTATCCAAATAGGAGGCTAGCTTGACCGGTGTATGACCCAGGCAGGGCAGGTGTTGATTTTTATATACACGCAACATAGGGGCAGGTACTTGTGTGTCCCAGACACGTTTTGTACTTGAGGTGGAAGTTGGAACGGCTGATTTCCCGAGAATCACTTCTGATGTTCCATGTAAAAGAGGAAATGATAATGCCATAAAAAGGATCCACTCTAAAACTCCATCAGCTCAAGTCAAAACCAGCTTCAGCATTTATCGCATACAGCAGTTTTTGCTCCATTTGTTCTTTGCTGAAACACACACAGACATATATATATATATATGCATATACATCATATATATATACTCCCGTCCCAAAAACAACTTCCCAGTCACTATTCATTGGTCAACTTGAATCACTCGTAATCTTTTACTTTTTATATCAAATTTTTATCAAATTTAAATTTTATTGATCAGGCTTTGTAGCGGTTTTAATGTAGTTTCTGAATATGTAAATTTTATTTACTAAAAATAATCCGAGTGTGAGCAGGGATCGAGTTGCTTTATCATCAGTCAAGCATCGTAAACCGAACGAGAAGTTAATTTTGGGACGGAGGTAGTATATATATATATATATATATATATATATATATATATATAGAGTGCTCTTCTCATCAGGCCGGCCTGACGGGCTGCCCCGTCCGGCCGAGCCCGTTTGGGCATCTTCCCGGTGGAATTTTTTGATGAAATTTTTTGAGCATGTTCCTCATCAAGTCTAGTTTGTCCATACCAAATTTCAGCTCAAAATTCGATCGGAAAGGTCGTCAAATGATTTTTGCAACTTAACTGGTCTGGAATATGTATTTTCCGGACCAGTTAACTTGCAAAAATCATTTGACGACCTTCCCGATCGAATTTTGAGCTGAAATTTGGTATGGACAAACTAGACTTGATGAGGAACATGCTAAAAAAATTTCATCAAAAAATTCCACCGGGAAGGTGCCCAAACGGGCTCGGCCGGACGGGGCATCCCGTCAGGCCGGCCTGACATGAAGTTTCATCTATATATATATATATATATATATATATATATATATATATATATAAGGCATGGTAAGAGACTCAGGGTATGTTTGGTTCGATAAAGATGGTTTGGTTCTTTTGGAAGGTTTAGTTTATATCTTGATAAGTTTATACAAATAAATAACACATGACTGAAATATGATATACATAAGTTTATTGCATATGTAGTATTATGGCTTGGAAATATGATAGAATAAAGCAAAATGGATCACTAAACTGTTTGCGCTTCTTTGTTATTCTTTGTTATGAAGCAACAGTCACTCCATGCAATTCCCGACGCGATTTTCACCATCAATCATCCGGAAACAGTCTTTCTGAGCTTTAGCACAAGGGTAAGACCCCCTCACCCCACCGTAGGTGGGAGCCTTTGCAGCACTGGGGTAACTTTGTTGTTGTAGTAGTACTATTATGGTATACCTTATAAAATCTCATACGGAGTATATAAATCCAGGTAATGCTAGAGAAAGTAAAGGGGGGAGGGGGGGGGGAATAGAGCGGAAATTTGCAAAACACTTTGTTCAAACTCATTAAATCATTTCTAAATATATACTCTAATGAGTCTAACTCATTCTATGTATGTATTTCTATTATACAAAGAATAATATGTAGTATAGGAAATCTAGATATAGTAACACACTAACACTTACAAATCTTCTTCATCTTCATCATTACCCCAGTGCCGAAAAGGCTCCCACCTACGGTGGGGTGAGGGGGGTCGGATGTACGCAATCTTACCTCGTATTAAAGCACAGAGAGACTGTTTCCGGATGACCCATAGTGAGAATCGCATAGAAAATTGCACGGACTGACTGCTGCTTTTTTTTAGTGAGCCATTTTGCTTTATTCCATCATATGTCCAAGCCAAAAAATAGTGAGTCTTTGGATCCATTGCAAATGATGAAAAACACTAACAGTTAAAAATATTTAATCAAAATTGGTTTTCCTTGGTATTTTCCAAGGTAAAGCCAAACATTAAGAACAAGCATTTCCTACAGCTTTCCATGTTCAGAACATAGACCAATAACGTCAACCATTTTTTACAAAACCTCCAACTAGTCCCGATTAGTCCAATTAGGCGCTCTATTATCATGTTTAGGTCCCACCTAATTCCACTTAGTTTATGTGTAACCCAGATTACCCCCCCCCCCCAGGCATTTTCCAACCTCTCATCCGGAGGACACCTAACATTTTGAAAACAATGTGTGAAGCAATTGAGATACTTGGTGGTGAAGAAGCCACAAACCTTCTATATGGTGGAAGTTTCAAGAGATTCATGCAAGTGGCTGATGTTGGCAGACGATCAAGAGCCTCATCTGGTGTGTTCCCTGCAGCTCTATACAAAGTATGGGGGGCTAAAGACAATGAAACCTTGAAAGCCAATGGCCTATCAACTATCAAGTCTCATAGAAAAACAAATAAAGAAAGATTACAAGTGTCACACCTTTGTACACAGAAAGAAGGTTCTAAGTATTTGAACCCAAGCAACGGTCCCCGAGAGCATCCTGTTACAAATCTATTACGGAAAAGATGAAGGGAACAACATCAATGATCATAACACTGACAGGAACAGGAGAGAAACTAAATATGTTCCTTTCTTACTTCTTTAATGCATGAACACTACTAATGCAAGTACTACGTATATACTCCACATTAAGAAATAAGGGTTGGACTGACGAACTGAACGTATGCAACATCAATACATCACATGTGTTTTTGAGGATTTGTTTCGTATTTGAGGTTTGAAGGGAAAAATTAGTCCTATTTTTCGGAATATTAGCTTGGACAAGACAAGTCTCAAATAGTCAATGTTATGTTGCCCAAAATACAAGGCACCCATAAGAAGGATTCAATTATCCTTTTCATACACTTTATTTTATACATGAGCATTTCATGCGTTATTACTATTCTTTTCCCCTGATTAATATTGTGTCCAAGTTTAACATTTGAAAATATTCATTTACGAGGTATCCCTCAGTTCATTTTTTCTTCCACTTTCCATTTAAGGTTTTAATACTTGCTTTACTTTACTTTTCAGAAAAGAGAGATATGCCAAAGGACATAAATACCCTTACTCTTTCATCATCAGATCTTCCAACTTGCTTTTTCATAATTTACACTATTTACTAACCCACTAATCCTACAATTTTATTATTGAACTCTGAAAATCCTAGTGGAGCGAGTATAAATAAACGGAGGGGGCATATCATATGCAGCTGAAAATATTAAAATTTCTCAAAAAAATTAAATACCCTTGTTCTTTCATCATTAGATCTTCTAACTTGCTTTTTCATATAGTATTTACTAACCCACTTAACCCTACAATTTTATTATTGAATTCTATGAAAATCCTAGTGGAGCGAGTATAAATAAACGAAGAGGTTATATCATATGCAGCTGCAATTGAAATTTCTCAGTGTTTTTCTATAAACCAAGAAAATGAACTAGTATAAAATTATCAACTACTCCGTACTTTCCTTGGGTTGAGTGAGTTAGTTAACTATGGCTCATAATAAAGACCAGAAGGAGTACTTAATGTGAAAGATATAGAATATACTTTAGAATATTATAATATACTTCAGAATATTCTAGGAATATACTTTAGGATATTATTATTGTATAGAATCTTGTATAGGAATATTCTATTTGTAATGTATATTTATAGGGACTTAACCCTTCAATGAAATATACAGAAAATCATTCTCTCCATCTTAAATATTATTCTAGTTTATATTTCAACATGGTATCAGAGCCTTCCATTCCAATTTAGTTTTCCTTTTCAGATTTCAGTTTAGTTTGTTATCTTAGTTTAGTTTTCAAACTGTGTTCTTTCTCCTAGAAACAGATTTCAGTCCCAAAACTTCAGAACCTCAAGGCAGCACTCTGTCTCCAAGAACCTCCTATTTCAGAACCTCCTATTTCAGAACCTCCTAGTCTTCCCAGAACCTCTTCCCAGAAACTTCACCCAGAACCTCTTCCCAGAACCTGTTTTCAAATTCTTTCTTCAGGAATTTCAGTTTTTCAGATTCTTCAGAACCGTTCAGAACCTTGGTACAATCCAAAAGGAAAAAAAAAAATCAGAACCTTAGAACCTTCGTCCAAAATTCACAGTAGCAAGTCCAACCGAAGCAGGCACCACTTCTGCCGCCGACCAAACACTCAAAATTCGCAAGGCAAAATCGACGCGCGTTCAATACACTCGCTGCCAGAAGTTCTCGCAGACGCCGCAGCGGCTCCTTCGTCTGGTTGTTCGCATCTGAGGTCTCGCATATCTGTGGAATCTGCTCCGTCTTGTTGGTCGCGCTGGGGTCTTGGGATGTTTCCGCTTTTGGCTGATGTCGCACATGCTGGGTCTCGCACTTGCTGAGTTAAGTCAGTCCTCATCAGTCAGCCCCAAGCGGGATATTTTATTCTCCAAAATTTGAGCCCACACGTAAAAGGCTGTTGTAAGTTTCCAATGCAATCTCAGATTTGATTTGATTTTTAAAAAAAAAAAAAAAAAAAAAAAGGAAAAAAAAAATGTTTCGTAGAGGTCAATTTGACAAAGTAATATGCAATTACTGCAAGAAGTCTGGACACTTGCTCAAAGATTGTAGAAAGTTGACATTCAAAAATCAAGGAAATTTGATTGCTCATGTTGCTTCCGCTACCACCTCATCTGATGGATCAGTTGCTATTTCTTCGGATGAATATGCCAAATTTATTTGCTACCAAGAATCTCTAAAGCATTCATCTGTCCCTATCTCGGTAGCCGCGAATTCAGGTATCTCAAACACATGTCTTGTTTCATCTTCTTCGAAATGGGTCATTGACTCAGGTGCCACAGACCATATGACTGGTAATCCTAGTCTATTCTCGTCATTTCATTCATATTTACCTACTTCTAGTGTCATTTTAGCTAATGGATCTACCTCACCCGTTCTTGGATCTGGTACTGTTGTTCCAACTTCTACATTACCATTATCGTCTGTTTTGAGTCTTCCTAATTTTGCATTTAATCTGCTTTCCATCAGTAAAATCACTCGTACTCTTAATTGTTCTGTAACATTTTTTCCTGCATATTGTGTGTTTCAGGATCTGTTAACGAAGCAGATTATTGGTAAAGGACATGAGTCAGCTGGTCTTTATATTTTGGATACATCAATTACAAAAGGTATCTCTTGCCTTGGGGCTGGAAATCTATTAGAAGCTCATTACCGATTAGGACATCCATCTCTCTCACTAATGAAACAATTATATCCTCAGTTTAATAAGGTGTCTTCTATACAATGTGAGTCGTGTGAGTTTGCTAAACATCATCACACTAGTTTAAGTCCCCGACTTAATAAACGAGCAAATGCTCCGTTTGATCTTGTCCATACTGATGTTTGGGGGGCATGTCCAGTTGTGTCCAAACCTGGTTTCAAATATTTTGTCACTTTTGTTGACGATTATTCTCGTATGACATGGGTGTATTTTATGAAGCGTCGATCCGAGGTATTTACTCATTTCTCTGCATTTTGTGCTGAAATTAAAACTCAATTTAATGTTCCTGTTCGTATGTTAAGGGGAGACAATGCCCAAGAATATTTATCTGCTCCATTTAAATCTTTTATGCTTCAACATGGCATTATTCATCAAACTTCATGCGTAGACACACCTCCTCAAAATGGAGTTGCTGAAAGAAAGAATCGACATCTGTTAGAAACTGCAAAGGCTCTTCTATTCCAAATGAATGTGCCTAAACAGTTTTGGGCTGACGCTGTGTCTACTTCATGTTTTTTAATCAATCGTATGCCATCTTCTGTTTTGGATGGTAAAACTCCTTATCAATGTCTTTTTCCAAATAAAGAACTTTTTCCTATTCCACCTAAAATATTTGGTTGCACTTGTTTTGTTAGAGATGTTAACCCTCATCGGACGAAATTGGACCCCAAGTCATTGAAATGTATTTTCTTAGGTTATTCTCGAGTTCAAAAGGGGTATAGATGTTTTTGTCCAAGTACAGGTCGATATCTTATTTCTATTGATGTCTCATTTCATGAAAATACACCTTTTTCATCATCCAAGACATATATTCATGAGGACAACGATGAAATACTCATTTACACAGTTACTATACCTGAGACCACACCTTCAGTAACTATGCCGAATGTCACTGTTCCTGACCTTAGACCTCCTGTACACTTGGTTTACACCCGTCGACACAAAGCACAAGATCACTCCCCACCTGTGACACCTGTGATTACATATCCTGATACTGGTCCGACTTCGATCTCATGTCCTGAACCAGTACCTGCATCTTCAGATCTTGTCTCTACATCTGATCTTGACCTCCCGATAGCACTACGTAAAGGTACACGGTCTTGTACTCATCCTATTTCCTCATTTGTGTCATACAGTCAGTTATCTCATGCCTCATGTTCTTTTGTTGCTTCCATTGATTCTATTTCTGTTCCCAAATCTGTTAAAGAAGCTTTGTCTCATCCTGAATGGCGTCATGCCATGGTAGAGGAAATGAATGCTTTGGATCTTAATGGTACTTGGGATTTGGTAGACTTGCCTTCAGGGAAGAAGTCTATTGGGTGTAAGTGGGTCTTTGCTGTTAAGGTTAATCCAGATGGATCTGTTGCTCGATTGAAAGCTCGATTGGTTGCAAAGGGTTATGCTCAAACCTATGGTGTTGATTATTCTGACACTTTTTCTCCTGTTGCTAAATTAACATGTGTCAGGTTACTTATCTCACTCGCTGCAACTCATGATTGACACTTACACCAGTTGGACATTAAAAATGCATTCTTGCATGGTGACCTTCAGGAGGAAGTTTATATTGAGCAACCTCCGGGATTTGTTGCTCAGGGGGAGTATGGGAAAGTTTGTCGACTTCGCAAATCTCTTTATGGTCTGAAACAGAGTCCTCGTGCATGGTTTGGGAAATTCAGTCAATCCATTGAACGGTTTGGAATGATAAAAGGTCAATCAGATCACGCTGTCTTTTACAGAAAAACGAAAGCAGGTATCACATTGCTTGTGGTGTATGTCGATGATATTGTGATTACAGGAAGTGATACTGCAGGTATTTTGGCTCTTAATAATTTTCTTCATAGCCAATTCCAAACAAAAGACCTAGGCTCATTGAAATACTTTTTGGGTATTGAGGTAACACGAAGTAAGAAAGGCATATTTCTATCTCAGCGTAAATATGTACTTGATTTACTAACTGAAACAGGGAAATTGGGAGCAAAGCCAAACACAACTCCCATGGTTCCCAATGTGCAACTCACTTCAAAAGGCATACCATTCGAAGACCCAGAAAGGTACAGAAGATTGGTTGGAAAGCTTAACTATCTCGCAGTCACTCGTCCAGACATTGCTTACTCTGTGAGCGTAGTGAGTCAATATATGTCATCTCCGACCATTGACCATTGGGCTGCTGTAGAACATATATTATGTTACTTGAAGGGAGCACCAGGACGCGGGATTGTCTATCAAAATCACGACCACATGAGAATAGAATGTTTTGCTGATGCTGACTGGGCAGGATCTAAAGATGATCGAAGATCTACCTCGGGGTATTGTGTCTTTGTTGGAGGAAACCTAGTATCCTGGAAGAGTAAGAAACAGAGTGTGGTTTCTCGTTCGAGTGCCGAATCAGAATACCGAGCTATGGCACAATCTGCATGTGAGATCATATGGATAGGCCATTTATTGGGTGAAATCGGATTGAAGACGCCAATGCCTGCTAAATTGTGGTGTGATAATCAAGCTGCCATACACATTGCCAACAACCCAGTATTTCATGAGAGAACAAAGCATATTGAGGTTGATTGTCATTTTATTCGAGAGAAGATACAAAAAGGATTGATCTCTACGGGATATGTGAAGACTGGAGAACAACTTGGAGATTTGTTCACTAAAGCACTAAATGGGATCCGAGTTGGTTATTTATGTAACAAGTTGGGCATGATAAATATCTATGCTCCAACTTGAGGGGGAGTGTGAAAGATATAGAATATACTTTAGAATATTATAATATACTTCAGAATATTCTAGGAATATACTTTAGGATATTATTATTGTATAGAATCTTGTATAGGAATATTCTATTTGTAATGTATATTTATAGGGACTTAACCCTTCAATGAAATATACAGAAAATCATTCTCTTCATCTTAAATATTATTCTAGTTTATATTTCAACAAGATACACTATACATGACACATAAAATAACCTCAAAGTCCAATAATATTACTATTGCAAATATTTACAACTAGTAGCATAACAGATAGAAAATGGGAGACTTACTTTAGAAAATTTCGCTGGTTTTCCAAAGAAAAGTTTTTTACCACCTCCCAGAACATCTCAATTACATAGTGATCCTGTCAAAGTGATGGTTAGCTATGGAAGAACTGAAAACACCAGCTTCTACAAAAAGTAAATATGAAAACATTCTATAACTAAATAATTCTAGCCAAATATCTATCATTTATCAAATGAAGCAAATTGAATGCCAACTGAGTCTCTGGAAAGTGTCCACTTATAAACACAGTTTAAAGAAATTTACCTCATGATAACCACCAGTATAATTGGTATGAGTTCGAAGATTATCAACATCAATACCATCAACTGCACCAGAAATTAGAAGCTGTAAAAAGGAAGAAAAAATGGAATTGGATTAGGAGAAATATAACACATATCATAACATTAGCCAGAGAACACTCCCCTAAATGGATATTGAGCACTGTAGTCACGTCCAAGAAAACGGTTAAGAAAGCAGCAGTACTTGTACGATTATAGATACCTACAGCATCACACCAGGGTTTTCTATTGCATGATGCTATAGTAAAACTTTCATATATCAGGTCTGCCATTATAAGACAGGCCCCTCTAGTTCCGGACTGTACACCAGTGATTATATCTCCTAGTTTAAGACGCGTGAGATAAATGTAGTTTTAATCAACAAACAAGCATGAAAAGGAACCATTGTTTTCAGTTCCTTGTACTAGTAGAAAGAAGGTCCTGATAATCAGCTGAGATGTTAATTAACACTGAAAAGCAGCAATTAATAGCAATAACTTAAAAGAATAGGTCATGGCATCATCTAGAAAACAAATGGGTTACACATTGAGACTAATGATGTTTTTACTTGGGCTGGTTTCAGTCCCAAACCAGACTTTGACAGTTGTAAAATACACATAGACGAGACATCTACCACACCAATTCAAACCAAACCAGCTCAGACTTAAACAAACCAGACCATAAAATTGCAGTCCAATTAAAAACATCCTAAGGGATCTAGGTGGTGGAAAACACTCGCCATGGCTTGTCGCCTCACTTAATGAGCGCCAAACATTGAATATAGTCGCTTAGGCATTGACTACGCATTCTCCCAGTTATCATTTTCTTTCGCTCACTTTTTTGTTTACTTTTTTCTTTATGATTCTTTTCATCTATTAAATATGAATCACACTATTCACATCACTAATTTTTGATAAAGTTTTGTAGCTTAAAGTTTTGGAAATAGATGTTAGGCTCTTGTTTTGAGTTAATGTGATGAACAATATATTCATCTAATTGCGCAAGGCTAATTGTCACCTAGGCATCTAAGTGACAACAAAGTTTGTTGGCAGTTGGCACCAGGCCATGCATAGCATCCGTAACAACCTCGTGTCCTTGTTAGAAGGATTTAGCAATAGTAACTTCAGAAAAATAGATTTTCATCCTTGTCATTATTAATAATAATTGTTTCTACATCAAAAAACCCAAACCGTCCTGATTTCCATCCCACCAAAAGCAACCCATGCTAACAATCTAAACAATTATACTTCCTCTACTTGAAGAAACCATTCTAAAGTTTGAAGTCTTGCATGATACATTTAGAATGAAGGTTTTCAGCTAGTATTCCAAGTTCACTCGAAGCACATTCTAAAATGATAAAGTATTCCACTATTCCAGAAATGTGAACTATATGAATGATAAAAGTTCTTCACCTACTTCTCAAGTATCAATTTATCATTGAAACAATGCTTCTTCAACCATGTTGGGCTAGTAAGAGTAAGATGCTGGTGGAGTAAGACGCGTTTTTCACTATGGGTCATCCGGAAACAGTCTCTCTGTGCTTTAGTACTTATTTGCGGCACTGGGGTAATGATGATGATGATATACTACTCACATCCCATCAAAGATCTAGTATGGAGTATTCTAACAACAGAAAGTAATTTAGACTTTTCCTAACATTAAAGATCTTCATAAGAAACTAAATAGATGCCGTTAAAGTTAACTACGCTTCAAAGTTTAAACATTCCATTAGAAGAAAGACCAAAAAGGGACACTGTGGCACAGACAAGGACACCTTTGTTAATAGAAGTAAATTCGCAACCAAATTAACCATCTGATACCCCAAATAATGAATCTAACGCTTAATGAAGTAGCAACAACATAACGATTAGAAAGCACACAGAGAGGTGTACAGGATTTAGAAATACAAAGCACCTTCTCTATGTATACAATTCAAATGAGAGTTTCACTAATCAACTTACCTGAAGTTCATGCTCATTAAACATGTCAATCCATTCCTTCTGTATTAAGACTTGAAAGCCCCTCAGAAAATGAGAACTTTGTTCACGTATCTGGAACATCATTTAGAAAAATGAAAGTCACGATTCATATAAAGACAAAAATAAAAATAAGCTCCAGCATCACATCAAAGACAAGAAAAGGAAAGCCTGTAATAGCACCTGAGCATTCAGACGATGGTTTGCTACAAGATGAATAAAGGTGATGACATTCTCATTTGTAACCTTCATGCTTTTTCCACCAGTAAGCAGCTCCTCTTCTTTTTGCTCTCCATATTCATTGTTAACCACAACAAAGTACAGTTCCAAGTCTGATAAATTACCATCATAGTGCTGCATATCAGAAAAACGTTTGAACAAAATCAGAAACAACAACATTCAAGCCTAATTCCCAAAAGACCATAAAAGACTGATATAATTAGAACAATATTAACCTAGGTTTTCCGTTGTGAGTAGAATCACCAAATTCCTAATTTCATAGAAATGAATTTGACATAACAACACTGAAAAAAATTTGACAAGAATAATCTCACCTTTCACTGGTCTTCTCATAATAATCCCACCTTTACATAATCCCACCTTTACATCCCATCTTCTTTCATTGAACCCTAACCTGCTGATGACCTACTATACCAGGTTTTTTACCCTTTCTTTGAAAATCATATAAATAATCTCACCTTTCACTTTTTTATTATATCTTTATACAGGTGGAATTATTTATATAAGATTTTCAAAAGAAGGGTAAGAAATCTGGTATAGTAGGTCATCAACAGATCAGGGTCCAACGAAAGAAGATGGGGTGCAAAGGTGGGATAATTCTGGGATTGTGTAAAGGTGGGATTATTATGAGAAGACCAGTGAAAGGTGGGATGATTCTTGTCAATTTTTCCCTGAAAAAAAGGGTATCTTACATACAAAATTGGGCAATTCAACAACTCCAACGGAAAACTAACGATTGAGTTTTCCCTAAACAACTATGCAACAATAGCAAAAAGCAAAACACATACCCAGTACAAGATTGTGTCTTATATCCAAATTAAATAAATAAAAAGAGTAATTCTAGGAGACTGCTTATACTAAAAACAAAATGAATATGCACAAAATGATCCTTGAACTTCTCAAAAGCGAGTAGCATTAAATAACTCCCTCAATAAGGTGCTCATTTCTTTCCGTCCATACCATCCAGATTAACTAATTAGGGGTGCATGTCAAACATCATTCCTTTTTACTGCTTTAAATAAATTGAACCAGCATAAAACAGGAATGCCTCCATGAAGATGACATAAGCATATACAAACACTGCCTAGCCCCATCAGTTGTGCAGAAATAGTAGAGAAATAAACAAGGCAGAATAAGACATAAGCATACAGCAGACCACCACAGAGCCAACAGAACTAAAACCATATTCAAATGAAAGAGAATTTTTTAAACACATAGCTGCTACAAGTTATTAAATTACCAGCTATAATGAAACAGAATGTTATTTGATTTTCATGAATTACAAATAAATGAAGTACAGGGCTTCATTGACCATAGACCCATAGTAGTATAATTACACAAGGCAGAATTTAAATGAAGGAGCACTTGCAATGACAAGGAATAATAATCACCTTAAGAAATATTAGATGACGGTACAGCTCTGGATCCAAAGACGGTAGATCATTTAAATAGTTATGCCTGAGAAGCAATGTGAATGTGCAAAACAAGCAAAATAAAAGTAAGTGAAGCCTACATAAAACATATAGTTGAAGAAGAGTATGCAGTGTGCCAAATCAATAATATGTACTCCGTAGTCTCGATATTAGTTATTTTTAAGGCCTTATTCTAATTGATCCTATAACTAGGAGATGAAGCATATTTTGAGTCCCACGTTTCTAACAGCGCACAAAACTATCTCTTCTAACGCACTCCCATCATACCATATATTTCCAGTGTTCACAAGAGTTATTGGTATCACGTTTCAAGTGGATCTATCCAGCTGCTCTGCCGTAGGTCAATGTCCATTCATCAAGAAACTTCACTTCCCTCTCTCCTTTTCAGACAAGTATTACGTAAACGTTAAATAGTGTGTCATTACGAATGTGGGCTGAGTTTCATGGGCTGGCTTCAGCTGACCCACGTGTCTTTGCTAAATACCGTATGTAGCCCTGAAGGTTACGCGTGCGTGCGTCTGGACCTTTTCTCTCTGAAGCATGGTTACGTTCTGCCTTCTGGACAACTTTGCGTCCTGGTTTTATTTTGACTTTTTTGGATGCCTTTTTTGGACTTGCCACATTTGGCATTTGTATGTTTTTGGTTTCCACTGACCGTAGCCTACTATGGTGGGCAGCAGCTGTTTGCTTTATTTTGGCTTTGGTGCTGGGGCCTGTCCCATGCATCTGCGTTGGATTTCAGGGGTATGCCTCGTTGTCTTTGTATTTTTTTTTAATGAGCTCAAAATGTACATTTTACCCGTTGTTTACAGATGTAATTGTGCTTGTAGATAGATTTAGGAAGAGTTGATTGCTAAGTTGAAAGCACGGGAACATGAGTTATAAATTATAATCACAAGGGTTTTGGATAAATCAAAGTAAAACCAGATATTTGGAGTGCAAATTTAACATTACTAAAGATTTAAAAAAAAAAGTAAAGTATGATGAAATTGACTGAAAGAGCTGCCAGTCCTACCACTGATCGTTTGTTTACTCGTGTACTTGGGATATACACAGAAACGGAGATTATGACACAGATGTGACACAAGTGATTAATGCAGGTCAGTTCAAACTTAAAATAGAAAGGAATAACAGGAATACTATGTGATTTTATTGTACCCCTAGGACAGAATGGAAAGTATTACAAGACTGTTATTACTATACAGGTTTGAGTGTTGGAAAAGATGAAATACTTCATAAAAATGAGTGGGGGTGTGTATGGTGAAATTGGTGTGTGGCAAGACTAAAAGCTATAGAAATGCACCGTGAGAAGATTCACGAGAGAATGAATGCAGCACCTATTCAAGGTAAAGTAAAAGAAAGCAAATAATGTAGTTTGGGCACATCATGCATAGAGAAATAAGTGTCATATCACGGAGAGTAAAATCTTGGAGACTTGAGAACAAAGAGAAGCAGTGATATGCCAAAATGACTTTGATGGAAGGTGACAGAAAACAGTGGTATATGAGAATAATTGGATGGCCTCGGGAGATTCCTATTGATTCGGGTAGCCAGCCCCAGTAATTTGGGAATAAAATTATATTAAGGTTATCTATAGAAGAAGAAAATAGTGAATTTGAGGAGAGTTTAAGAATTACTAGCAAAGTTGCACCTTTCTTCCTTTTTGGCATGTAAAGCTCTGATTGTTTCACCAAGGTATTAATTTTTTATCACCTAATTTAGCCAAAAATAGATAATGCAGTGAAATAGTTGATTACATCCCCAATTTAGGAGTGACCAATGTATATTTTAAATGGATTTACATTAATGAACCTAATGTATCGAAGAAGAATATAATCATTAAATCAACTGAACGGATATGTTGCAGACAGGGAAGACAGAAATCTTATGAAACATTTCAGAAAACCTTACTTTTGCTTCAATTTGCTCAGGAAGAATGTTGCAAATGGTATGTCAACCAAAATCCCTTCAAAAATTGCCTACAATAACAAATGACAATCGAAGTATAAAACCTTCTATATGAACGAAAGAGCAAACCTAAATACATGGATAATTAATTGTGTGAACAAAATGATAGAAGGTTATAGATAATGAATTCAATTACTACGGTGAAACTATTACAGTAAAGGGAATTAGTGAGAAATCCGTTCTCTAGTGCATAGAAGAAAGCAAAGTAGTTCTGGTAAACAAGAAACATAAGTACAAGCATCTTTTTCAATCTATCTACACATCATCCATTCATTCATTCATCGTCATTACGCTAGTGCCGCAAAAGCTCCCACCTACGGTGGGGTAAGGGTGGTCGGATGTACACAGTCTTACCCCTATACTAAAGCAGCCCGGATGACCCATAGTGAAAATCGAGTCGGAAATCGCATGGACTGATTTGCTATTTCATAATAAAGAAGTGCGGACAGTTTAGTGAGCCATTTTGCTTTATTCCATCATATTTCCAAGCCAAAAAATAGTGAATCTTTGGCTCCATTGCAAATGATGGATCAGTCAAATTATATATATATATATATATATATATATATATATATATATATATATATCCACTTGCAGCTTTGCGGGTATTAGCCAAGCTCATTCATTATGGAAACTAGCTGTAATTATTGAGTTGTTCAACTTCAAGCTCAGATTTGGCATATTTAACATTTATGGCTGCAAAGGGAGAAAAAAAAACACAAAATCAACTTATCATCTAACAGTGTTGTCTTTAATTGTTTATATACATGTTTGATTTGTTCATCCCTTTCATTTTTCTCTGCATTCCCCTTTGTTTCATTGTTTCCTAAATGGTCATTGGTGTTTCTGGGTGTCCTTGATTCATCCAGATTTGGATTAAGAATTTACAGAAAACATTTAGCGAAGTCCATGAGGAGTTCTAGCATTGTTCTCTGTCGACAAGAACAGACTTGGACCTCGACTCGTATATTAAGTCAAGTGCAGCCTCAAACCAGAGTCACCAACTCGATTCAATTCAAGCCCTTCCGGTTTTGCATGTTTCATCTTCATTTTTTTATGAAAACATTACGAGTTCAGAGATGAAACTTTTACTAGGGATGTAAAATTGGAGTCATGGGTGACAAAGATGGTGGGGTATCGGGCCATAGGTGTATCGGAGGGAGCATTGAAATTGTGATATGAAGCGGGAAGAGCATGGGGCGGGACGGGCTTGAGCCCACCTTCTGACCTTTGTGGGCTGGCTGCGGGCAATTTAATTAATTTTAATTATTCCTTTTATTTTGTTTCCTAGTTTATTTGGTTTCCTAGTATAATTTAATTAGGACTTCTATTCTCATTAGAATTAGAGGTTTCCTATTTCTATTTAGTTTCCTAGAATGATTTAATTAGGACTTCTATTAGAACTAGGGGTTTCCTATTCTATTTAGTTTCCTATTATGATTTAATTAGGATTCCTATTCTTATTAGACCTAGAGGATTATTTATACCCCTCGTATGCTTCATTCTTGATCATCTTGGAATAAAATTGGTTTTAACCTTTTGTCTCTGGGCAACGATATTTTTATCGTTGATTATCTGGGCAACGGTTAACCCCGTTGATTTTATTTTTCTGTTCTTATCAAATTGGCTTAGGCATGATGGGGTTGTGTAGAAAGGTGTTGTCAGCATGTGGGATGGGATGAGGCACTTTGGGTCAAGTGAACAGAAAAAATATATATCGAGTATTATATTACACAAATCTAAAGATAAAAAAATAACCCCATATAGTAAGTATGAAGTAATTCATAGTTTTGTCAATTGTCATTCAAGAGACAGTAATAGACTCAGCCGGTGAAGATACACTGATACACATTGGGGTCCATAGTACATAGTCAGTTTCACAGTTCAATGCATAAAATTACAATAAATTTGCTTAGTTCTATTTAGAAATAAATTAAAACAACCATTAAACAAAATGATAATCTATGAAGTATGAACTTCAAAGTCCTCACATGTTTTCAGAAATGATGGCTTGAATGAGTGATTAATAAATTTTAAAGTCAATACCTTCGCAAGAACAGTCCCAAGAAAGTTGAAGTACTGGAGATGTTGTTCATGAATCAACCCTGATCCAGGATTTGGATATAATAGGTGATCAGCAGTTTCCTGGATATAATAGACAGATATGCATCACTGAAAATAGACAAAATAAAACAAAACAAAAAAGATACACTTTTTCTTCAAAAATCATTTTCAGAAGCTACCCTCTTGTACCATCGCAAGTTATTTGAACATTTTGATGGGGAATAATCACATCTGTAAAGGTTGAGGATATGTATGTAACTATGTAAGACTAAGATGGCTCATCAATGGACAATATTTTTACATATTTAGTTCTTCATGTGAAAATAGAGTTACCCACTGCAATAAATTAGATATGATTCGGGTACTCTAATAAATAGTCACTATGAGTGTATAATTGAGGGTAAGCAAATACATTGAGGTTCTTTCCAAAAAGAGTTAAAAAATAATTTCCATGGTCAACTACATTTTCTGCCATAACAATAAATGTATAATTTCATCCTAAATAGTTAAATCGCTACTCAGTGGCTACTCGGTCAAGAGTCGAGTAGTGAGTAAGACCCAGTACTCGGGATTACTTGGTGGTTAATTGGTCTTAAATCAACAAAACAAATATATATGCCACAAATTCTAGAAAATATTAGTCTATAAAGTCTTATATACAAAACAAGAACTAATAATCCTATTAATTAGGTAGCACAAATGGTAATCATAACCTTTTCAACTTCCCAAGAAGATCAATCATTTCCTCTTAATTGTAGTATTAGCAAATTCACCATCATTAGAACCCCCAAAAGAATTCATAGTTATATGTTATAGTAAAACACATTTGAGATTAAGAGGTCAGAGAAAAATAGGAAGAGGAGGAGGAGGAGGATGAAGATGGAGATGAAGAAGAAGAGGGGGGAGGAAGCCGCCACTGAAAATGTTGAGTTCTGAAATAACCATAATACCTACCGGAAGTCCAGACTTTGTAATCTTATTTTTCCAATTTCTAAAGTGGTAACAAGTTATTTGTAAAAACCATAGCTTCCAACTTAAATTAGTTTCAATGCTTCAGATTTCACAACAAAGATCAATTATTGCTGACTGAGTTCCCGGCAAGTAACTGGTTCACCGAGTCATGAAAATCACCGAGTACTCCACGATTAGGTCGGAATATTGGAACCACGCGATAAATACACTGGTCAGCAAGGTCACAGTCTGAAAAGCGAGCACTCATTGATTAGATAACATAGGTTTCATCATTAACTAATTGAGCTCAAAAGTGTTACCAAATCAATATTTAATGAAATAAATCTTTCTGATTAGGTATTCTTTTGAAGCGAGTTAGACCCAATTTAATAGAATCAAAAGCATGGCCATGATTGGACCCTATGAATACACAGAACAAATGATGTAAGGGCTATCTGCCCTTGGGAAAATAAACCACAATCTAAAAGAGATGTCTTGACTCAGGAGGGGTGTGTGTCGTGAGAAAAATATGTTGCATGGGCGAGGAGATTAGCAGCGAAATGTGTTGAAGATTTTAACCTACATCGACTAAATATGAAATAACAAACTCGCATCTAAATATTAGGTTACTCCTCCTATCATGCGGATTAGGTAAGATCACCAAATGACATGAGATCCTAGAACAAGATATATGTGTTTGTAGGTAGTAACTTGGTCTTGTGCAAGAGCGGAAAGTGTTGCAGCTCGGTCTAGTGTGGAATCTGAGTAGTGAGTAACTGAGTACATAGTAATGCATCATGCATTTGGTGAAATAACATGGATTTACAATAAAGAAATTGGTGTGGAGGTCAATAGACTGAAAGTTATGGTGTGATAAATAAGCTACTATACATATCTCAATAATCTTGTTCCCCAAGAGCAGACCAACTGAGGTGGAATATCCTTTTGTGCGATAAAAGACTCAAAAAAAGGTTACTATCTACCGTACATGTCCGAATTGGTAATCAACTGAATGATTTGTTCACAAAGTGTCCTCAATAGTGATGAGGCGGAATATGTGCATGTTTGGTAGGCATAAGTGACCTTCTAGCTTTTGTACACCAATTTTTAAGAGCTTTTTTAAAAATTTAAGATTTTTCAGAAGCTACACTAATAGCTTCTGAGAGGATGTTTGCAGCTTTTAGCATTCATTACACACAATGGGTTGTAATGCCAAACTGAACTAAATTGCTAGTTTTGAAGAAGCCGGTGCTGGTAAATTGAAGAGCTTATAACTCTAATCACTACTCACAATTTCCTTTTTTACAGAAAGAAAAGTCTTTTGTCCAGCACTCGTGCCCTGATTAAGTGATAAACTAAGACAAGAGGGTCTCATTACACACATAACTAGAAAAACAAAATATAAAAGCAGTACCAGAAAGTAATACGTACACTACCTTAAATAATCCATACTGTACATCAAATGCTGCACGCGTTATATTCTCCATAAAGTCTTTGAAAATCCCACCACCATCAATACCAGCCTCTTCAACCCCAAATTCATTGATAAAGGTTACTCGAATCTAAAAAAGTAGGAAAATAACTATCAGGTTACAAGAAGAAAGATATGTGATTACACATTAAATGTGTGTGTGCATCAGAACTTCAGAACCATTAAAAAGTGAAATCAATGATTGCAAAGGGGCACCAGTCCATGGTGATCATCATCGGATAATTCTTTCATCTGATTAAAAGCATCTTCTAGAATATGGTCTCTTCGTATTCTGAGTCTATGCCTTGGAAAAACAGCTTGATTCCCAGTCCTTTCTCTTGAAGAAGCAAGCTTTGACTGTAATATATTCATGTAATAAAAACTATTAATAACTAACTCCAGTAATCTGATGTATCATGCTTTTTACAAACTAAAAAATATAACTAGAAGAAGCTGACGCTGATAACTTGAAGAGGCTATAAATCAAATCACTACTCACAGTAAATATTTGTGCTCTGCTTGTAAAAGGCACCAAGAAGGGAGCTTGTTTCAGTATATCATTAGCTCTGGTATTTTCTGTCATTGCCTGGATGGAGTTGGAAAGTGTCCAACTAAGTGAGTCTGAACTTTCAAAGAAAATAAAAAATAAAAATAAAAATAAAAAATTAACTGAAGCAAAAACTAAACTTCAATTGCTAACTTTACCATAGAGATGAAGTGCTCATTGACACCATCAGCATGGAAGTCACTAGGAGATGTAAATTGTCTTCTATTATTCCAATCTTGCAACTGCATGATTAATGTCATGTGAAAAGAATAGCTTCACAAAAGAATTCATTTATAAATTATTTTTAATAACATATAATGATGAAAAAGAGTAGCAATACACCAATAACGGATACTTCTTCCAAACCTAGGGCATATATACCTTTGAGAGAAGCTCAGAGGCCACAACACAAACCTTGTGCTGAATAAAATCCACATGATGCTTCGTTGTAGTGAATCTATCAGTAATGTATTTGTCGAAATTAGTTGGAGGCACAGGATTAAGCCACATGATCTGCCACAAGGCCTAATTGAAGAACAAAAAAGCATAACTAAGAATTAACACACAAAGAAGCGACAAGCTACAAAATACTAGTCATTATATTCAGTGCAAAATTACAGCACAATTCCATTGATCTAAAAGTTAGCATGGTGTTTAGCTCAAGTGTTGCACTGATACTATTGAGTCTTAGCGATACATACTTGTCTTATACGCTGTAACATTAATAGGATAGTCTTTACACAATGATCATGATGTATCAAAACTACGGTCATGCAACACATACACAGTACACCAATGACCTGTGTCTGTTTTCCCTGTGGACCATGTGTCTGTTTTCCATCCACAATTGATACTATATGTCTATATACTATCCTCCGTTTTTTTAATCGCAACATGTTGAATTTTACACTATTCACATGTTCTACTTTGACTACCTTTTAGGCTATTATTTTATGAAAGTTATTTTTTAAAATAAATATTGTTCAATTTATCTCATTACAAATTTTCAAAATATGATTTTAAAATTTTTTTTACTAATAGAGATTACAATATAATTATGGTCAAAGACGTGTGTTGGCAAGTGTGAAATGTTGAGCGTTGCAACTAAAAAAGAACGGAGGAAGTATACTATAAACCCTATGTTAAATACATTCAGTCATTTACTTGATTAACATTACAAATATACGACCAGCATTTATTGCATACACAAAGAAGATTAATTGAAAAAAGAAATGTGATTACTTTTTCCTCCAGTTCTCACAGAGCTTGGTCACACCAGGGCTCATGATTAGCAATTTTCATCATGTGGATATAAATGCTAAAAACATTGTATTACTTATTAAAAAGATTGTTTGACGATGTTTAGATTTAGAATCAGAATCAGATTTCTCGTTTTGTACGAGAAAGTGATTCTTTGTAGTGTTTCACATTGCTTCTGTTGTATGATATAGAGAATCACCATGGAGTACTCGAATAACTTCTATCACAAACCGCTTCTAGTATAAACTGACCAAAGAGGGTGCGAAAAGATGATATTGTGTCAACAAGAATGTAAACATAAATAAAAAATAGTTTGTCAATATGTGTTGGTCTTAAGTATATACTCCCTCCGTCCCACAAAACTTGGCGAAAGTTGACTTGCACGTAGAATAATAAAGTAAAAACTGTGTGGTTGAAATTTATGCAGAGGAGAGAGAAATAACTTTAGCCACATATGGAAATGGCAAAGTTTGCTAAGTTTTGGCTAAGTTCTATCGCATACACAAAGAAGATTAATTGCAAAAAGAAATGTGATTACTTTTTCCTCCAGTTCTCACAGAGCTTGGTCACACCAGGGCTCATGATTAGCAATTTTCATCATGTGGATATAAATGCTAAAAACATTGTATTACTTATTAAAAGATTGTTTGATGATGTTTAGATTTAGAATCAGAATCAGATTTCTCGTTTTGTACGAGAAAGTGATTCTTTGTAGTGTTTCACATTGCTTCTGTTGTATGATATAGAGAATCACCATGGAGTACTCGAATAACTTCTATCACAAACCGCTTCTAGTATAAACTGACCAAAGAGGGTGCGAAAAGATGATATTGTGTCAACAAGAATGTAAACATAAATAAAAAATAGTTTGTCAATATGTGTTGTTCTTAAGTATATACTCCCTCCGTCCCACAAAACTTGGCGAAAGTTGACTTGCACGTAGAATAATAAAGTAAAAACTGTGTGGTTGAGATTTATGCAGAGGAGAGAGAAATAACTTTAGCCACATATGGAAATGGCAAAGTTTGCTAAGTTTTGGGACGGTTAAAAAAGGAAGTTGGCTAAGTTTTATGGGACAGAAGTAGTATAACTTAAGAATAAACTAATGTATATGAGCAGATATTGGTGTTTACTATTGTTTGAGGCCCAAGAACCCAACACTGGTTCTTGGGTTGTTATTTATAATGGATCGAAGTGTATGAATTCAGGGAATAAAGGAATGATATGAAACAGTAAACAACACATATATGGCCCATGTGAACTCCTTATTCAACCTCTGAACCTCGCCCAAAGGCAACCGTTTACAAAGGATTACAAGTATAATGTCTGGTCTTGAGGCTTGGTCAAGACAGACACTCCATTTGGAGGATTGAGGGGTATTCATGGGAGAGGAGGCTCAAAGGCCTTGCCAGGACTCAGGGGTCACACTCTAAATTTCCTATGGACTGCTAGAGGATGTGTGCTGTACACTGTCCCTGTGTCCCAGCGTACAACTAACTAACTAAGCCATCTATCCTCTCCTGGTAGGTCAGCCTAGATATAGACTAACTTTACGTGTGATTTCAAGGCAGCAGAGACGAGCTGCTTGGCTTCCGCTAGGGTTCGTTCGGTGATTTCCACACGTTCCATTCTCGATCAAGTAAAGATCATGCTCAAGTATAGCGATAGCCACTTTCTCTGACACCAAATGATAAGAACCAGAATAGTAAAAGGAAAAGTGGATGTCGATTCAGAAGAAAATACTGAAACAGTAAAGAAGAAAAACAGTTTGAGCCTCTTCGCGAGGTCTCGCTCTCCCAATTCCCAGTCCTGGCTAATTTCCGCCCACCTTATTCTTCCCCCTACCCGTCCTTATAATAACACTCTCCTAAAGGGCCGGCCCTCAACTAAGTTACTGGGCCTAAAACCCTATTATTGAACAACACTAAATTACTTAGTAAGACTCTTATTATTAATAGTGTCCGGATCCCTATCATGTATGTTCTTCATTGTGTTTTTGTAACATGGAGGCTATAAATACCCTCTCTTCTTACATAATATATATGAGGCAATGTATGTGATGTTTTCAAATTGATGAAAAAATTCCTTGGTCGATTCCTAAATATAGAGTTACATAAATAATTATGTGGAATCATAACTTATATAAAAACTAAACATCCTCGGAGTCACAGCATTACGAATTTCACTTTTTTATGGAAGTTCTAACTTGTTGAAAATGTAAATCTACTACTCTAGTGACTTTCTGTACTTTATCCCTTCAAGGTTGCCAGGGCCCCTTTTTCTTGTTTCAAAGAATCTTAGGACCTTGAAATCATATAGCGATTCAGTTACCACAACAGACCTTTTTTGGGGCAAATCAGATGCTCCCAATTACTAAACTTTCACAATGAAGCTTTTTTGTTTCTTTGTTTGTTGCTTCACCAAGCTTTAGGGAAAAAACATCTAATATTATTATGAATGAAAACATTATTTTTGCATTTGCCTTGAAAGTTTTTTACTGTGATATTCTGCAAGTTACCTGTCTCAGGATAACAACCAGACTTTTGATATCCTTCAGAGCTAATGGCTTCTCTTGTTCATAGAACTCCTCGTTATCAATTATCATAAGCATATGCCTGATCCACCACAAAGTTACAAAAAATAGGTTATCTAAACTTGCATTAAAGTTCATTATCAAAGAAATTAACCCTCCATATGGACTGAAAGTTATGAAGCAAAGCTCTTACTTGTAAACGGGACAGAAAACAGCCAATGGCAATAGCCAACCAGGAGCATCTGCTGGCAAATATGCTGAATGCTCCGAAAGCAATGACCATTTCTGATTCTCATGGCATTGTTTCATGAAGGCCCAAAGCGCAGGAACCAATTCTGTCCGGTAAGCAATTACAGTCATTATTCTATCAGGGTCTAATATATTGAAAGTCACGTGCAGAAAAGCACAAGCTGCACCAACAGCTTCCACAACTTTGTCATTACACTGGCCCAATTGTACACCGTTGGTGAGTGCAGACCTCCCAAAGAAGACATTTGTCTGTTGAGTAAAATGAAAAAATGTTTTATGTTTCACTTTCCATGAGTGGAGACAATATTACATTGTAAACCACTTCATGATTGCATAATATACGTTAAGAAGGTCATTAAACCACAAACCAACTGCAGAAGAAATGATGGATCCATTGCTTTGAATATTTGTTGTTCCAAGTCCGAATTCAGAACCTCATCAGGTGGTTCATCTCCAGTGATCATTTCATCATCAGTCATTTGGGAAACTGAGGAACAGATATAGACATATCATTTTACAAACAGACCTCCGTCAAATGTTTAAAAAGTAACCACAAACAGCATACTACTCAAAATATGAGCACGAAGTATATTATCCACTCAGCCATTTGGGTCCTCTTATTATAAGGCACCTCTTTAAAGGACTCTGGTCCTTTTCACAAGGCATTGACTCTTCTATAAAGCATTTTTGAAGTACTGTTTAATGATGCAATATAAAAGGGCGATCGGAATGTAATAGTTTCTAAGAACCTAAACATATTAACCTATTCTCTTGGTTTGTGTAATTTGATCAATTGTGCCTTAATAATAAAGTCCAGAGGGAGTATTTTATTTATTTGGCTTACATCCTTTGCTTCCCAATCTTGACTTTCTAAGCGAAGGAAGTGCTTCCAACAAAAATGCAGCAACAGTTGCAAAATCAATAGCCTGTGGAATACACAATGAAAGAAACTTTAGACCTGAAAAGATTTAAAGAGATAAAAAAACAGAACAATGTTGATTGATTATGAAGTTTAATATTAAAAATGAATTTGACCTACCTTCTAACATTGACGAAAATAGTAAATGGTATGGCTATAATTTGAACTTAGTAGAAAAAGCACCACATTCAAGTCTAGGTTAAATTTTAGTTGATAAGTTAATTGCTTATAAACTATAGAGTACTATTAATTAATAGAAGGGAGGCAATCATCTGAAATAGGGAATAAGGATTTGAGGAGAAACTAAATTCAGGTGTGTCCAACATATTGCTCTTGAGAATGTTAAACAAACAGAAAGGAGTTACAAACTTGAGACGGATGAATACATGGAAGTTAGAATTAGCATCTAAGCAGCACAGAGTAAAAGCGCATACTTGTAAAATTAAAAATGAAGGTAGGTATGAAAAGCATAGCTGCATATCTAACCATATCAAATGAGTCTGGCCGAGTAAAAGCAAGGCTTGCAGCATCCAAAAGGTTCCCCAAAAGGCATCCATATCCAGGCATATCAGTTGCTGTATCAGGAGGGAGAATATTACTATTATCTTTGACACATAAGGCCATCTGATGGATATAATGTTGGCTCAGAGCTGGTGTTGCAAAAATCTAATCAAAGAAAGACGAACAGAAGTATGAAGATAAAGTGAAAAAACAGTAAACCAAATATGGAAAAGCGCAAGCTATGAAATTAGTACAGCAATTATAGAGATTGCATAACCAGTGTTTTGTCAGATATGAGTGATACAATGCAAGTAGGATGAATCATTCAACTGATTATAATGCAACAGTTAAAATCTCTTAAGTGCCAATAACAATTCACAGGTACCAATTATAGCTACACATTAGTACAATCTGCAATCAAAAGGGGCAAGTCAAACATCGGCATCCAATTACCTCTTTTAGGTGTGGGAAAAAGTTCCACAAAAAAGGTATTGAAAGAATCTGGGAAGGAAAACTTGTTGTTGAATAAAGGGTCGGACAAGTACAAGATCGTTGGCCAGCATGAGACATGATAACAATGACTATGCGCTCCAAAGAGGAACCCACCCAGTTGGAAACAGGAAAATTCCCTTCCTGCTAAGATCAATCATAATCAGTAGATAAACTTAATACATGTACCAATTGCAAGAAGAACAAGTCATAAGTTGCGGAATTGATATCTACCTTCCATGTCAAAATTAGTTCTCTGAACATACAGTGTATGTTTCTATCGAGAAGATAAGTCACTATTTTGCAGGACCAAGGAAGCCTTGGGTCAATCAACAAATGAACTGTATCCAACAAAATGGAAGTTGGTGTATGAAGAATTTCAGATGCCTCAAGAAGTTGATACTTCAACTGATTCCTATAAAAGAGACGAGAACAAGATATATGTTTGAAATAATCTTACACGGTAAAAATAATAGTGAAAAAGATCTGATTTATATTGGAAAGGAATTATTTCCAGTTTTGGTTCCACAATTATTAGGTCATTCCTACCCTTGGTCCTCAACTTTCATTTTTCCACTTTTAGCCCCACGACTATAAATTTCTTGCCAGTTATGGTACTTTCAGTCAATTTTCTGTGAAAATTAAATGGAAAATAGCCAGAAAAGTGAACCATAGGTGACAAGATCTATAACCGTGGGAGTATAAGCAAAAAACGAAAGTTGAAAACCAAAAGTAGGAATAACCTAATAGTTAGTTAAGGGACCTAAAGTGGAATTAATTCTGCCAAAATCAACAAAGTTCGCAATAATATATTACCTCCGTCCCACTCAACTTTGCCAAGTTGATGTTTGGTGAGAAATTAGAATAGTAAAAACTGTGTGGTTGAGGTTTGTGCAGAGGAGAGAGAAATGAACAGAACCACAAATCCATTGCTTTAAAAGGAAAGTGGCAAAGTTTTTTGGGACAAACAGAAAAGGAAAGTTGGCAAAGTCTAGTGGGACGGAGGGAGTATGATGAACAAGGAACCCATTTTAGAACCACCCCCAACGGTACTGCTACATACATTTCCTTTTTGGAGCATACATAGAATTAGATTCAATCAGTTACTCAGAAAATCTACAAACTTGTAATCATTGTTGGTTGGTTGGAGAAGGGAGTGGTTATGTTTTCCTTCACTTGTTTGGGACTTTGGGTATCAAAAAAGGGAGTGGAGAATTTAATAAATAAATTTAAGGAAACCCATCCCATCACCTCCCCTTCAAAGTTAGAGGGACTTGATAGGGAGAAGTATTTTTTATTTCTTTTGAGATCAACATAGCTCAAGTTGTATGTCTTATGGTTTATTATTATTTGGATCAGATACATCATATTTAAAGAAAGATGAGTTATATATGAGCTCCAATAGATATGTGAACTCCAAGAGATAAAGGGCATGTCAAGCAAGAATGAGTCAACATATATTATCAGAATGGGGCCACAAAATTCCCTCCCTAAATAAATAACAAATCTAGATAGATATGATCTGGGGAATGTCACGGGCTGTTTGATGAAGAAGTTGGACCGAAGGTGTATAAATCTGTGTTCTGATTGAGATCTCAAACTCCCTAGGTTGGATTTGCTTGAGATCCCAAAACTCCCTGAGGTTTTCTCTGAAAATGTGCTTCCACTCCTCACTAATGAAGCTCCCATTTATAGAAGGAAAATGCAAATTCTTACTGGGAAATAAATTAACTAATACGAAACTAATAAAGATTTCCAGCACTAAAATGAATCCCCGATTAACAAACAAACATAAACTAACTAATAACAAGTGACAAATAAAGCAATAAGATAATACAACACCCCTAATCTTCATCCTATTCAAACTTGTGGCTCCCTCAGCCTGAATCATGAGCTTCTCCATGATAGGTGAAGCCTTGGGGCAATTTTCTTTTGCTTCTCTTGGATTAGAGGAATCAGAACTGATATGCATCTTCTTGGGTTCGATGAGAGTATGGCTTTCGAGAGAGCAAAGTGGATGGCGCACATTTGTGTGGACAATTGATCGCTTTTCTCTCTTTTCTCTCTTGTTCTTTTATCGTTTATCTTCTTTTTCTTTCTATGTTCTTTTGTTTATTTTTATCTTTTGTCTTTCTTATGCTCTTTTATTTTTTTATCTTTTATCTTTCTTATGTTATTGTTATCTTATATTTATCTTTATCTTATCCATTTGTCATACTTTTTTTATTCTTATTATCTTTCTACTCTTTTTGGCTCTGATGTCATGGATCGATTCATGTTAGCTGACCCAAAATCTTTTGGGAATAAGGCTTGGTTGTAGTTGTTTTCTTGAGGCGAGAATCAAGGTGTGACCGTGTAAGTCTAAACAGCCTTTTAAACTATCCGTTGCGCAAAACCTTAGTCATATTTTCACAACAGTGCAACAAAAATACATATGAAGGGCCAACCACTCAAGGAGAACCCAAATATTTTGAAGTATACCTGTTTGCATGAAGTGCCTGAACACAAGCATAAGCAAGTTTCTTAACCCTGTGGTCCACCAATGCACGATTAAAATCATATTCCATGCCAGCAAAGATGCAAATAATATCCCCTGTTTGGTACACAGATGATTAAATTATTAAAATACCTTTAAAATTCATAAAAATGCTTATAGAAAAATGTATCATAAGGATAAATGAAAACAATTTCATTGCAAAAAAATGGCATCAATTTCTAAATAACTTATTCAACTCTGTTCATCTTAGACATGGTCCAGATATAGATGGTTCAATACTTCAGTTAAAGAATTAAAAGCTTCTTCTTAGATATTATAGCCACTAGCATATTGTGTGTAAACATCACTTCACCTAATCAAAACTCTGCTCATCTTATATCAAGTTGTGATCAGGTTTTGATATTCAGGGAAGTTAGTTTATTACTTTATTTAGCTCCAGGTATACCCTATTAGTCTAAGACTACTGAATAAAAACATTCGCTTCCACATGTCCTATAATTTTTATGGCATCACTGCATCAGAGCCCGTATATATAAGCAGTGGCATGCACTAACTTAATTAGTGACCTACATATTTATTTACGTGAATATATATATATATAAGTAATACGGAGTAATTAACAGCTTTAATTGATAGTAATATAACATGCATGCAAAATAATTACATCATACATTAATATACATAGGTTACGTACTATGTACTGTGTGTGTGCACGTAATGCTTAGACCAGAATGTGTACTTAAGTTATTTATTGATAAAAATTGAATATTAAGATGACTTAAAAATTGCGGTTCATGCAATTATTACTATATAGATCAGATAACGTACGAATTAAATATATACATAGTATCTTCTAATTGTTACTAAGGTATATATTAAAGTACTTCGAAATTCAATATCACTTTTTATTAAATAAATTATTATTATACTTTAATATCATTTAAAGTAAGAATACTCCTTATCTGTTTAGTGTGCTACATACTCATTAAATATTTATAAGTACTATTCTGAAAAGCCATGCTCTTGATCTGGCACTCTGACATGAATACTCCCTATCTGTTTAGTGTGCTACATACACTCAAAAAGTAAGAATAACACGTAGTTTAATGTCCACATTCACTGAAAAAGGTTCTATCATTGTCTCATCCTCTATCACTCTAACAAATGTTCTTCAAGTCCCTAGCTTGTCATGTAATCTCATGTCAGTTAGCAAGATTGTTCAAGAATATAACTGTCTGGTCATTTTGTTTCTACTGGTTGTCTGGTTGGGTTTTTCAGGACCAACACTCGGGGAGACGGAATTCCCAGCAATGGCTCTGGGAGCATGTGAAATTATTGGGATAAAAAGAATCTTGAGAGAATTGAGTATTGAATCCGATAAGCCGATAAAATTGTTCCGCGGCAACAAACCAGCAATCACCATAGCAAACAATCCTGTGCAACATGACGGAACAAAGCACATGGAAATTGACCACCACTTCATCAAAGAAAAAGCAAGGACGAGGGGATATTTGCAAGTCGTATACCCCAACCTCAGAGCAATTGGCCTACATTCTAATTAAGAAACTCCACAAACAAGCATTTGAAAATCTTCTAATCAAGATGCGCATGATTTATATATTTGATCCGATATTAATGGCCTTTGAATTAGATAGATATTATATCCTAAGCTAATTATATGATTATATCCTAAGCTAATTAGTCATTAATGGGCTTTAAATTAGATAGATATTATCTAGTACAGTTAGTAAGTTAAATGAGGCAGTAAATTGGATAAAGTTTATCTACTTGTTAATGGTCCTAATATTTAGAGAAGTTGACCTATTTATCTGTATTTATATCACATGACTTTCATAAATAAAATCATTCACTCCACGTGTCCTTCTACTTTTATTGTAACTAATTAGTTAAGAGATAGACAGATTAATTTATATTTTATAAAAGTATACCATTGTTTTTATATCTTTCTAGTGCATCTAGATACTTCCAACAAGCATACCAAGACGTCAAAACATAAAGGGACAGCCCCAGTGCGCCAAGTGTGGCTCGCCTTGGAGGCTAAGGGGAGGAACGGCATACATACGCAGCCTCCTCTGACATTGCGCCAAAGGAGCCACTCAACCATTGAGCCAAGGCTCACCTCCAAGACACCAACAAATACAACAATAATCTAGAAAACAGCTACTCATATTCAAATTTTAGAGAGTGCAGTGTGCATTTTCAAAACTGTGAATGCCATAAAAGGGAACGAAACACAAATTCAAAGACGAGGAACAGTATAGTTTGAGAATAGAATTAAAACCAGTATCGCGAGCAAATTCTTGCAGAGATTGGCACGCTTCCACGAGGATAGCAAAATCAGCCGCACATGTTGGTTTCAAGAAAAAAAGAAGTTCTCGAAGAAAATCTGAATCCGGACCAAAAGACTGCCTGGGTGACACAGAAATAAAAGAGGATAATGAAGACAATTCTAACAACAGCGTGCATGTGTGTGATCTGATTTTCTGTGAATCAAATGAATCAACCTCTCAACTTTCTGGCAATGCTCCCCATAAGTCTTGAAAAATGAGTTACGAACTCTGGAGCGTGCAGCTTCAACTTCTTTTCTTCCACGGAAGAATTTCTGTATCATGTAGATTATGTAATCAAGTTGAACAAGTATAAAAGAGTTGAAAATACTATAGAAAAATCATTAAGCTAGGAAGGTGTTAACAAATAATTACAGTAGATACAAATTAAACGAAAGAAAGCATAGGGGAAACCGTTAGATTAAGAATAGACAAAATGAGGATGGCATTGCAGATAATAAAAAAATAAAAATAAAAACTATCATTTCTTAGGTTCAACATCATAGTTCCTGCCCTTGAAATAAGCCTATTATATTACAATGTTTACTCAAGAAAGTTATGCATACAGCCATATAGAGGTTACACACACACAAGAAACAACTAAAACTCTAAAAGTACCAAGGTTGATGAAAGTCTCGGATCCTATATGGTTACACAGCATCAACTACCCCAAAACCAACCCATTACACCTGACAAACAAATCAGGTTTAGTAATCGAGCAACCATGATGCTCAAGAAGAATAAGAAATTTAGCAAGGCCAATTATGATGCAACATTGTCTTAGGCACTACTGCACTAGGTTTCTCAGTAAAACTGGTAACGGGAATAAAGCCAAGTTAAGAAATACTACCTGTGTTTCTAAGATTACTAAACACCACAAACAGAGTCTCATCTTAGCAAAGATATTAAGACCTGGCACAACGCCAGTGTTTTGCTTAAGTTTGTAACTTTGTACCTAAAAAGATGGACAATTTCTTCTTAAAGTGCATTCTACTCCCAATCTTCAAGAAATCCTTTCATTAACTCTCATTCTCTCAACATTATTCCCAAACCCCAAAGGTAGTAGCAAATTTATGCATTCTTCTCAGCTACACACCTGACCTAGGATACAAACTTAAGCAAGTCATCCAAGTACAAACTGTTACTGTTTACTGTAATTTCCCATGAAAGAACTTTGCTGCTCATACCCATACAACGGACATACCACGCATAAATATTTTAAAAAGTAAATAGAAACATCTCCATAGACCCACATTCTGGTCGGGTATGTAGCAAACCTGAATTTTGATGGCAGCGGAGTTCTGCTGACGCAAGTGCTGCCGGCGATTACGCTCCTGCCTAGCCTGTTCCACGAGCTTCTGCCTGTCTCGTTCCTTGGAGCTTCGGCCACCTAAATCAACTCGCTTACGCGATGAAGGATCGCCGCTGAAAAACATTATTTTTGCTATTCGCGACGAATCTTACCCTGATTTGATACGCAATCAGCTGATCATTGATTTTATATATTGCGGTTGCCGCAGAGTGAGTCCGAATGTGAAAGATGAAGAAATACTCGTCTGCTTGTTTGGGTTCCCTCTCTGCAGTCTATAAAAGTCCTCTGCTGAACTATATCATAAGGCAATCACTCATAAATTCAAATGGTGCAAATTATACCGACCAAAATACTTGCAGGGGTGGAAATTGTTTCTAAAACATTAGAACATAAAAGCAAATAAAAAGTGGGGGAAATTTACAAAAAAATCTCAATTATGGATGGTCTTTCTCTTGTTAATCTCTATAATAGAGACATGTTTACATCACCTCCTAGTAAGTGCGGCTTATTAAAACTTGCGTATACACAAGCATTTATATAATGGGGTTGTTTGGCAAACAGCTTATAAGTCATTTTTTAGTTTGTTTGACTCAAAATAGATGTTTGACCAGATTAAAACGTCAAAAATCTTGTTTGGTAATCAGCTTGTCCGTTCGGCTTATCCATATGAAGAAGGCGAAATTTGAAAAGCTGGCCCAGGCAGCGTTTAGGTCAGATTTCGGCTTATCCAATTTTTTTCCCCGTTTATACCCTGATATCCATTTAGACATCACACCAGACATCTCCATTCTTTTTCTCAGTCATCTTTCTTCTTCGCTAACTACAAACAAAGGTATGTAGCTTCGATTTTTCTTCTCTGATTTTATCCCATTACTTTGTATTTCTTCCATGTTTTTCTTTCTCTCCCGCGACGTTATTCTATTCTACAGCAACTGGTCTGCGTCCGTTCCCCTTGTTGACCTCCCCTCTCTGTCTTCTTTTCTTTTACTTTGTCGCAGGTGGTATGTGTGAGGTCTACTTTGTATTTTCCATTAATTTGCATTTTGTGTCCTCTTGAGATGCCTGATACTTTTTGAAATGTTTATCAGAAAACAATATGATACCAACATAGGAGAAAGGCTCAAGGAAGAAAGATCTTCATTCCTTCACAAGACTCCAGCCCAGGTATTCTGAAATGGGAATCACTCATATATATTCAAACTTTATTTGAACAAAAAAGTATTTTTTAGATTGTGTATTAATGAATTGATTTTGATTTTAAAGCTTGATATGTAGGTGAATTATTTTGGGTATTGATGTTTGAGTGAGCTAACTTTGCAAGTGTATTATTGTTGTGAATATTAGGCAGCTTGGTGCTTGTGGTTTTCTTTATATGTTTCTGATTTTCTACTTGCCCAAAAGGTGTTTGTTAAAATGCTTGTGAGGAATTAGTTTTTTGTTTGGTTGCATCTGCTGCACTTTTATATTCACAGGACTGGTTGTGAGTTTTTTCTTTGTACTAGTATAGTACCCGTGCGATGCACGCGAATGTATTAAGAAAAATTAAAAGCAATTAATATTTGAATAAGCTCGTTTAAAAAAAACTGATTCTTCCACACACAAAAAAACAACTGAAAAATATTCTAGTGTATGTCTAAGATATACATAGTATCACATACGAAGTATACTAGGATATTTCAACAAAATACTCTATATACACTTTGAAATGTAATGTGTACGTTACATCATAGCTAAGGGAAAAAAGATAATCCCAGATATATTGGCTCCATGGAATACCCCAAATCGTTTTTTTTTTGGGCAAAGGAATACCCCAAACTTGTATCCCAAAACCCAAATATCCCAAATCTCCCAATTAATTAAATACTCCCAAATACGAATAAGTTTTTTAGCCCCCATGGCATCTTCACATATACTGTTAAATACTCCCAAAGCAAGTCCTGCATTCAATTTATCTTTCAATTTATTCAGACAAAACTCAATTATTGTTTCAAGGCAATTCAATAGATTCATTAATAAATCTTGAGAAGTCCAAACATCATATTAAGAACATCAAATATAGCTTATTTGGTTCATCTCACCTAAGCAGTTCCATAGTTACTCTATTGCGTGTAATTTTCATGTGTGTAAAGGTCATGCTATTTATTCCAACCTGAAAATACTCTGTGATATATGAATGCATATATGTCTTAAACTTTATTGGTGATATGATATACATTTCATTAATATGTGTTCCAGCACCCTTACATAACTTCATGGTATAGATCAATAGTTTGATTTGAGCAAGGATGATGACCATCTGTCTCTTACCTTTTCAATATGGGGTCATAATCTTTCTTATATGGGGTTCTATCTTATTAAGTTAATAATTAGTGATAAGTGAACAATGGTTATGTGTAATACGAAGTAGTTTAGTTGATAGAAAATGCTTGTAAATGTTATTTGTGTTTTAATATACTTGATAGAATCTTTTCGTATGTATTTGGTTTATTAAAGTGCTTGTAAATTGAAAATTGAAATATAAAGTACATTATATGAAATAGTTCTGGAACAACTTTAAAACTCTCTCAATTGAAAGCTTTACTTTTTTTACTAGTTTAGTTTAGCATTGAATAAATTTTTTAAGGTAATAGTTTTGTTATTACATTGTTAGTAAATTTTCGTTTAGTTATAACAATTTCTTTTACATATATGTACTTTGTTATTTTGAGTTTTAGATGGCTCCTCTACGAAAGAAAAGTATAGATGATTCTCAAAGCGGTGAACATGACAATACAACTGAAAACAAAGCAGGACGAGTTATTTGGTCAAAAAACTCACTTCACGTCCTTTGTGATCTTTGTATTAAGCATGTTGAGAAAAGTAAAGGAAAAAATGGTGGAGTTGTATCTCAAAGATTGGTGTGGAAGAAAATTGAGTTGGATTTTCTAAAGGAGACTAAGTTACCATGGGATAAAATGAAATTGAAAAACAAGCTTGATACGATAAAAAAATCATGGAGCTTGTGGAAACAATTGAAGGGAAAAGAAACAGGCTTGGGATGGGATCATGTGAAAGGAACTATAAGTGCTTCTAGTGATTGGTGGGCCTTAAAAATACAGGTTAGTTCTATTTAGACAAATACGTTAGTACATAGCTTGAATAGCAATACAATTATACAACATTTGTTCAATTTTTTTAATAGGAAAATGCTAAGTTTGAACAATTTCAAGACGAAGGGATTGAGCCTGAGCTTGAATACAAAATGGATCAAATCTTTGCTACTTCAGCCCAAGGAAATCTAAAGTACACTCCAGGAAATATCATCTCAGAAGAAGATTTGCATGTGGATGCTGATGATGTTTATATTCCTTCCCTACCTACTGATATTCATCATGATATGGGTGCTGGAGAGGAAGAGAATAACGACGGTGTACACGGTACAACTAATGCATCATGGGATGATTTGTGGTGTGAGCTTAGCCCTACGTCTTCATCTCCTTCCACGCATATCCCTCAGATCTCACAAACTGGAAGAGATGATATAAGGAAAGGTAAGAGGGCACTTGAAGGTGATTCATCACAAAGCAGTAAAAGTGCCAAAACAAATCAAAAAAAGAAAACAGGGATGGCGGCATTTCAAGAAATGTTTGGTGGCATGATGGAAGTGGTTTTGAAAAGGGGTGAATCAATCAATGAAGTTACAAATTTAATGAAAGTGGGGGTCTACTCTCTATGCTTTACCCCTGCCCATAACTCCTACGCTACCCCCAGGGCACCAGGTCGGGGTAAGGGGTACGAGTACGGGGAACGGGTAGGTGGGGATAGGGGTATGGTCGGATTAGGGGGAACGGTGCGGGGAGGGGTATGGTCGGGGTAGGGGTGGCCGGGTCGGTAGAGGTATGGATATGGTAGGAGTAACGATATGGGGCAATGGCAAGAGGTAAGGGTAATCCGGAAGCTGGAAAAGCTTAAACTGCCTCGCAAGAGCATCTCTAATGGTATAATGTGCACGGTGCACACGTGGCATGAGAAATAGCCACATAAATATTAGTAAATAAATTCTTTCTCTCCTTATTTTAATGATTTTATACATATTTAGTAAGTTTTTCTCCACAATGTCAATGAGACCGTCTAAATGTTGACATTGCAGTTGACATTGCAGGAAAAAACTTACCAAAATTGTATAAAATCATTCAAATAAGGAGAGAGATAATTTATTTGCTAATATTTATGTGGCTATCACTCATGCCTCATGTGCACCGTGCACATTTTGGCATTGGAGATGCTCTAATTAATATAAGGGGGTAGTATGGTTAGTAAGTGGCACTTTAAGCACATGTTTGGGTTAATAGGTAACTTTTTAAGCAGTATGTGTATTTACTTCACCTATCTTACTAATCTAATTGTGACTTTAGCAGCGAAGTAAACACGTCCTAGGTAATTCTAATATAACTAGTAAGAATTTAGATCTAAGAACTGAAAATGTAGTGGTAGGCTATGTTAATAAAAAAAATACTACGCCGTACAAATTTAAGATGTTTTGCAATAATTTCTTTTTTGTTGATGATTACCACAAATTGACAATACCAAGTAACTTTAAAAGTAAATCGACTATTGCAACTAATAAATTTTAATGGACATTGAAGTTTTAAACATACATGATTCCTTTGATTTTTTACCGAGTTGCCCAATTAAGAAAACATGTCTAGTCTGAGTTTGTATACCGTGGGATCATCCCACGTTGAGCATCATGCTCCAACCCCCCACCCCAAACGACGCAGTTTTAATCATTTTTTTAAAAAAAAATCGCGTGAACAGTACACGCGTGAACAGTAACTTCTGCAGTATTTGTTTTTTTCATCTCAGCAACATGAAGTCATGAACGATGTAAATTGTACATAATTAGATGTAACTCGTGTTGCTACAAATGTAACTTCAGTTAACAACATATGTAACATGTGCCTTGAAATGTAACTCATGTTTAATGAAAAAAGGAGTCTAATTGTTCAATTATTTTACATAAATAGTGCATATGTTTTGTTTTTAGTATTAGGTTCATTAAAAATGAGAAAATCATTTTTGATTGAATAACAGAGGTTATTTTGTTGTGTAACTCACATTGTTTTGTGGTGTAACTCACGGTATGTGAAATGTAAATCAAGTGTAATCAAGATGTAACTTTTTGAGAAAAAATGAAATGTAAATCGCGTGTTACAAAATGTAAGTTTAGCCAAAACGAAATGTAATTCCAGTGTATGTGAAATGTAACTCTTTTTTTCTTTCTATCCCCAGAATCTGAGAGGAAGTTTTATGAAGCTTGTATAGAAATTTAAAGAAGATTCCTAAATAACTTCTAAGTTCCTCATGCTTTTGCGTAGGTATCCACTCCCAGGTTTGTAATCAAGTGCAATGTTTCTGCAGCAACCAGCGATCATGAGATGAAATACAGGGGCGGTGTAATACAGGGGCGGTGTAATACAGGGGTAGGCAAGAAGGCTGATCGGTGAAAGATTGTTGTCCAAGTTTTCGATGAAGATGGTCAGCCTCCCGGGATGTTCGCACTGCTGCGGCGATCGAGCGATGCAAGGCTTGAGCGTTCTTTTTTAATTATTTAAAACTATGCCGTTTTGGGATCGGGAGCACCATGCGGATGGTGGGCCGATCCCACGGTATAAATTGCGGTCTAGACCACATCGGAGGTATGAACTCAAATGATCATTTAGTAGATCATTTGATTAGTGTTAGTCCTTATGATTTATCTTTTATAAAAATTAGTTGTGGATGATAACATTACTTAATTCGCAACAAAGTAGAACAATTTTATTTACAAATGATACAAACATTTGAGACAATTTTTTAATTTCTAAATAAATCTTACCATCACAAAATATAGGTATTGAATGATGAATCATATTTCTCTATGTGTTCTTTAAATTTTAATTAGTGAACCATATTTCTTAATAAATTAAACAAATCCATTTGTATCGCAAAATATTCTAACAGGAGTTTTGGTTGTGTTTTATAACCTAATACTTTGTATAATATCTGTTCAATGGTTTTAACAAATAGTATTTCATAAGAAAACAAGAAAACGATGCAAAATAAAGAAGGAACACATTGTGGTACCTGCGGCATTTAGAACCTATTTGGTCAGGGCCGGCTCTAGCGATTTGGAGGACACAGATGGAAAACGTACGTTTAATAATGCCTCTTACCATAATAAGTGAGTGACTGGGCTTTTTTCCTAATTTAAAATTATGAGATTTTTGGTATTGTAGTTGTACTATTTACTTTATTAAAGTGACTTTTGTGGTGGATTTTTTCAAAAATGTAAGTTCGACACTTATTTTAATACAACCCAAAAAGAAAAGTGTGACACTCTTTTTGATACAAATCTTATTAATGTGATTTATATAACACATAGTCATAAAAAAAAAATAGTAGTTCAACACCGCATTGTCATTGCCAACAATTTTGAGAAAGAAAAATTTATCCTTACAATCGATTCATAGAGTTGGCAAGCGATTTAATAACCAAATCTCTCTTCACCTTTTTGTCTATGTTTGAAAAACTGACCCAGCCCGGCCGGATCAACTCGGAACCCGGCGATCCAGACAAAAACCCGGGTCAGATAGTTCAAAACTCGGAAATGGTCAAAACCGGAAAAAACCCGGTTGACTCGGGAAAACCCGGTGTAACACCCCCAAATTTCCCACCCAAAACATTGATAATTTAAAGAAAATTCTTTATTCATTCATCATAATGTTGAAGAAATACAGCGGAAGTTTAAAAAGGGAAATGAGTGTTACCGCCACATCCGGTCATCTCCTAACCGAATGCACAGGCAACTTAATCAAAACAAAGTGAAACAAATATTCGACATAATTAAAATGTTTATTCTTGGCTAAGTTTTTCTAAGGCATCTATAACCCGCTCTCAAGGTATGCTCTCGGACTTATGCAATCAACAATCAACATAGTCACCATCACCTGCACAAGTAAAGTGCAGAAAACAAAACAAAGGAAAGGAAACAAAAATTAGCTTTAGAGCTAAGTAAGTACTACCCAACCCCGTAAAATAATCAGGTTTGGCAAAAATAGTTTTTCATAGAATACTATATAAAAAGAACTCACTCCACCAAAATTCTCTTCTTCTTTGATCATCTCAAAAATCACTTCTTCTCTAACTTCCTAGTAATTTAGAAGGGCGGTGCTCAACCTTTCGACTGAGCCCGGTGGACCGTGGTTACGGACGGCCACCCCGAACAAGTGTCGGTACCACAACTGCTCTTGCGGAAACGAAACGACTACCTTAAGTGTGCACACCCCCTAAAAGGGATTCCAAGCCCTCCGAGTAGTAAGTCGTCACGAGTAATCGGGACTCAGTCTACCAACTACCTCCGAATAAGGTATCTCTGAATGATTAGGGACTACTACTACAACTTCTTCTTAAAAGGGATCATAGATCCAAATCTTACTTCAAACTCAAACTTTACTTCTTAGTAGTAGCAACCCTAATCACCCTCCACATTTATCCGGATGTGGAAAACCGACACCGCGGATTTCTCCCACGGTGCTCACCTCTTATAAAATCTTTACTTTTATCTTGAATTAAGATATACTTCAAAAATACTTCTCCATCTCTCTAATTAGTCTCAAAGGTATTTAAAAATATTTAATACCCCAAAAAGTACTCTTAATTTGTATTCCTCAAAATCACATACTCATAATTCACAATTCACACTTAATCACATAATGCATAATAAGCATATAATACGAGGAAACAATTTTGGATTGGCAGAGAAACTTACCTCAACTGCAATTATTCTAAGAAATTCCTCTAACTTGGTGTTCACCCAATCTACCTTCTATTGAAAATTCTAAAGTCAATAAGTAGTAAAGCTTATAATTGAATACTCTACCCTTTATGATTCCCCGATTATTATTACTTATTGATTGTTCATTAATCAGCTCTAATAATAATAATAATAATAATAATAATAATAATAATAATAATAATAATAATAATAATAATAATAATAATAATAATAATAATAATAATAATAATAATAATAATAATAATAATAATAATAATAATAATAATAATAATAATAATAATAATAATAATAATTAATCGAACTTTATCAATTAAGTTGATCATGGTTGTTATCTAGCCAAATAAATTTCAATAAGTAATTTAAAAAAATATGCCAATTAATCGTGTACTTCAACGATTCCAAGAACGTAAATCAAGTGATTAAATACAACACTAATTAAATAATTCAACCCTTGCTAATTACTTAGCCCATTATATTCTAATCCGATTAAAATAATCCAATTATTTCAGTTAAGTAATTAATTGATACTTCCTCTATAATCCAAACCTTTACATTAAAAATTGACAATTTATAAAGGGTGAAAACTATCAAATTATACTTCGCTAAAATTCTCCTAATTCAATTATCATTTTTCTTATTCGTATTATCACATTTTATGTTATTATATTATTGCTATTAATATTATTCTGTGATTGTTGTTATTATTTATTCAGCCCAGCCCAACAAGTTAAAACCGGAGTAGATCGTTCATCGTCTTCTTCACGCCATGAACGTTGGGAATACAAGGAGCGCAGGGATACAGTTTGCTTACCTACGAGGCTACGACGGCGGACGAGTTGAACGATGTAGGTAGAGAGCTCTGGCGGCGGCGATGTCATCCTTCAGCGACCGCAGATTGGTCCGGCGGCGTCAACTCCGGCCTTCTCCTCTTCCTCCGATCCGCCGTGAAAACAGTCCATCGACCTTGCTACTGCACCTCCGGCGACGATCGTTTCCCCCTATTCTCACCTCCTTTCTCTCTATCTGATATCCCCTCTATCTCTACTTCTCATGTTTTGCACGAAGCAATAGAAGGAGTTGTTTTCTGTTTTGGGTGTAGAGGAGTCTATCGTTCGAAGAGTATAAATAGCCTAGGAGGAAGGTTTTAGTTCGACGCTATCAATAATAACTTAATAAGGTCAAAATATTTGGCTTTTAATTCCACTTATGAGGTTTCCTTGTTTGCTTCTACCCATATAATCCCAGGATGTATATAAGGAATGAATATATCTCGAGTATATTATTATACGACATAGAAGTAATGTACATAGTCTCTTTTCAGTCTGGATACATAGGCGTGTGATTCGCATGGCATGTTTATCAGCTGGAAAAACAATTCAAATTTTATACATCTATGATCAATTTATAAAGTAATCCATTTATCCACCCATCCAATAAGAAGTTTCAATTTTATCACTATTAGAATCAGGGGCGGCCCCTAAGGGGTGCAACAAGGGCGACCACCCTAGGCCCAAAAAAATAGGGGCGAAAAATAGGCCAAAAAATTTCTTTGTATGTAGCGTGAGTTGACTTCTTCTTTTTTTAATTTTTAAACTCAATTAATTGACTCAAGGTTTTTTTTGTAGAAGGGAAATTTTATTAATAAAAGGAAAATTGTACAGTGCGAGAAAGGGAGAAAAAAGAAAAAAAAAAGGGAAAAGCAATACAAAAAGAGAACATGTGTGAAAACTAAAAACAGAGCTAGTCCCATGGGAAGTCTCCGGATTGAGATCTTGTTCTCATGCTATGCCGCCGTTTGTTCTTCTGATTTTTTCTGTACATTTTGAGCTGCGTGTTCAGATTATCAGTTGGCAAGTCCGAGTTTACGAAATTGGCTTTGCGGCAATTTTCCCGATTGAATTTGGACTTCCTAATTTCTTCTAGGTAAGAAATAGGAGGCCGACGATCACTTTCGGTTGCATGCCCCAAGAAGTCATCTGTGAAGATGGAGTCATCTGAATGATCAAAGTCGTCAGAGGCGTTTGAGTACGCTTGGATCGGTGGCAACTGGGGTTGTTTCCCACAAGAGAAAACATGTTGAGTAACAGTAGCTACTTCCTGGATTTGGGAATGTAATATCAGTTTTGAGATGGATGTGGTGTCCTCGGGTTCTAATTTCCTCCCTTGTTGAAGGGAGATTGAGTCATCCTGCATTGACTTTGAGAGTCCCGCAAAATTAGAAAAAATATTAACAAATTTAAATTGGCTCGAATAATTGGGTCCCATGGGTATGTGAATTGATCCCTCTTTGTGTTTAGCCATTTTGACATAGTATCCTTCTCTATAAATTTCCACGGAAATTGTAGTATCTTCAAATCGCCTTATTCTTTCAAAATTTGACTGATCAGGAATTCTGAGCTCTGAGATGAACCGGATGATTTTTGGAGCAAGCTCAAGTTTGAAAGATATCTTGTGTAGAAGAGATCTTTTGATTTCAAACACGACCAAGTCTCTATTTTTCACTGCAAATTTAAAAGACTTTGTTTCAACTTTCACCGAGTCAAAACCATATTCACCGAAGAAGGAATATCTTTCACCAACTTTTAATATATCTATTGTTGCCCAGTTTACGTCCGTTGTGACCTTATTCGCAATTTCACTTTGAATTTGTACACCAGTGTGGCCAGCCTGGGCAGAAGAAATTACAGCGTGGCTTGATGAAGGAGTATTGTTCCTAATTGATAAACTCTTTTTATTTTTTTTCATTTGAGACAAGGTCTGTGTCCTCCTTCTCGTGTTGCTCTTTGTCCGTAGGCCGCTAGACTGAAGGTTTAATTTTTAAAATAAATGTAAAGTAGCACACCTCTCTTAATTCTCTTCAGATCTCTAAGTTTATAATCCTTTTAATTACAAAACTACCAAGTTATGTTAGGCCTCCCAAATCCTAAACTCCCCATTCACAAGAGAACAAAACGCTGCAAAGCGGTGGGGAACTCAACGGTTTGTTAAGAATTGAAGTCAATCAATCGAGAAAGCCAAATGGCGACCGATGACCAAAAAACCTCTTCTTTCA